GATAACCAAACACAATAAAATGTTTTGTGATATTTTGTTTGACCAGCGTTTCATATTTATAGATTACCGACTTTTCTAACACACCGTCATGACAGGTAGGTTGACAGACCTATATTGACAGCAGCTAACGAATGGCTATTTAACCACAACAATCAAAAACCGTGGTACAAGTAGGTTGATAACTGCTGCTATGATGATAATACAAAATATTATTATCATTAGTTATCATATTTTTCTACTATCTATGTTCTACATTCAACAAGTAACAGCACAGTACAACAGATCATTATTATGCTATTTGAAAATTATAATTTTTAGTTTTTATAGGTAGTAAACAATAGCTTTAAAATTTGGCTTACAATCTCATAAGTGCATACATTGAATGGACACGCGTCGCGAAGCGTTACTATTATTTGTTTAGTTATGTTCAATTTATTCAAAATATATTCTGTGCTCAAATAATTGTTTTAAACAATTTACACTAAATAAGGAATTTTGGATTTAATTTGCTTACTATTTTAATTCTACAGTAAATATTTAAAATGTTGCTTATTTTACATTTATAACTAACTTTTTTTTATTATATAAACAACTTTATTAATAAAAAATAATGCAATAAAGTGGACTGTGTTTAAATGATTAAGTTGTCTAAAGACTAGATGTTTGTAAACAGTGTTTTAGGAACCTACAACAAAATCACAGTTAAGTTTGAAATTGTATTAATTATCAACTTAATTTAAGCCGGTAGTTCCAAACTGTGATTCAAAGTACTTTTACTTTTTTTTCTGTTTTCCCCATCCTGTTGGCAAAAAAGATTTGATTTTTCTGTAACGGTAAATTTTTCAACATCATTGATATTTTATTTTTTTTTAAGTCAAGTTATTTCTTATTAAGATCCCGTTAATAAAAATATGGATCAATAGTTTGTGACTCAATTACACAAAATCACACAGTGATACTCAAACTTCAGAAATAAAGTTAGGGTTTGTGTCACGCAAACATTAAATTATCAGAACTTGTCTTTTTTATTTTATTAATAACTATTAAATTAAATAGTTTATATGTTCTTATCTTTTTATTAGTACTTACTAATTATTATTATAACTTATAAGGTGTATAATGTTATAATAATAGTGATTCTAAAGCCTTTATAATAAAATATGTCTGTTTCAAAAATTTCAAATTGAAAAGTTAATTCTTTTACAGTTGAATCTGCTTATTTTGATTTTATGTATAATCAGTATTTTCTTATTTTTATTATTTTCTTCACTATTTAATATCTAGAAAATTAAAAGCTTAATAGATTTTAGTTGTTTAAAAAGAAAACCATTATTTGATATTTCCTTGTTTACTATACAAATTAAAGTATTGACATTATTAAACTATTATAACGGGTACGTTTTACTAAGATTATGTAAAAGTGGCAATATTAAATCAAAAATAGCCTTAGCTAAATTGTAGTATCTAAATTTAACAATTATTCTGTAATAAAACACATTTTTAAGGATTTAAATTTTATGGAATTTGTACGCGACAAGTTTGTCTGATTTTATACACATACATACATGTATACTATATTTATGTATGAATACAAATAATTATAAAATCAATTATACTAACTTATAATGCATAGTTGTTAAAAATAAAATTTGTTTACCTTTAATGATGCAAATAATGGTTAAAAGAATATTTGCTGTAATGCGTATGCGACAATTTTCCTACTTTAAAGAGTTAAAAACAATTTTTACTAATTTTTACTGTGTAGTTTACAAAATTTGAACATTGATAACACATAGTCAAACAATTGTGTTGATAAATTTCAACGACAAATATATAGTATAGTATAACATTTAAAGAACAATAATAATCTTTTGTCTGATAATATAAGTATTTAACTAATAAAATATTCATAAACTAATTATTAATACAACAATAAATTTAAAAATTACAAATGTTACTATTTTGAAAATATTCAATCAAAAATATTAAACAAAAACAATATCTATACATTTGAAATTGTTCAACTTCTACAATACTGATTTAAATTTTTTTCTTTTAACAATCGTTGGTAATTAAACAAATCTAACAAAATCAAAATTCAATAAATAAAATTAACTATAAGAATTATCTTAGGCAAGTTCAAAAAAATAATTTACTTGATTTACTGAATTCATTAAATACAAATTAATAGAATTATTACTTTTTTAAAGAGAGAATTATTGTATATTAATAAATTTGATATAAAATTTAACTTTGATAGCCAAATACCTGTGTCAGTTATAGCTAAAACTTTATGATAAAATATCCGTAATGTATGTCAGACACACAATATATGGGTTATATCATTGTAAGAAATAACTAAACTGAAAGCAGACATTTGAACTACCTTAGATAAGTTTAATCAAATAAAAATAATATACTTACATATTATTATAAATATTGGTATAATCAAGAAGCGATTCCTTGTATGTAGTAGTATGAAATTCATACATTAATTACTGATATTTTTAAAAATAAATGAAACGGGTATATGAGTATTATCAACCCACATACACAAATACATGCATTAATAATTATTTTAAGTTAACACAACACACTTTTCATTCAAATTGCTTAGTGTTGATATTATACATTCACATGAAAAAATGTCATATTAGAAATAAATGTTTTATACTTATAATTTACACCTTGATATATAATTGTAAGGTCTTGGGTCCGATTGGAAAGACATTTCCATAGCAATTGATACGTCATACTCAAAACCAATTTTACATGATAACATTGGTTTTTAAAAGATGAAATATTTTCAGTAAAAAAGCATTCAACCTAAAATAAAAAAAGCTAATTGAATTCGTATTGTATTAAATTATCTATTAAACTTTAATACACTTACCTATTAAATTAATGATGTGTCCAAGAATGTAACGTCAAAATAAAGTCGAGAGCAAATATTATCAATTGATATATTTAAAAAATTATAAAATAACGAGTTATGACATAACTACAATAAGCATGCTATCATATTTACTATAAAGTAAAATGTAAATTTACTAACATTTTTTAATTAAGTTTGCAATTTCTCATTTCACTAATGGAAAACGTGTGAACTTCGAAGTCGAAATTTGTTAGCGATGAGGTTATGTACAAATAATAAATATAATGCGATTTTGTACAAATAATAAAATATATTATGGGTACTGGTCACTCGATTATTCCGTGGTAACTGATGCATAGTTTAGATACTAGATTGTTATCCGAGATAACCAGCTAATGACTAGCTCCAGCTAGATTAGGTTAAAGTGTAAAGTCCGTTATCCGTAACAGTCTACCTTTCGTCTAATAATGTATGGTTATTTATTATATCTGATTATGATACGGAATGCGTTAACATCAAATTATTATTATATTTGATGTGATGACCGTCGTAATAAAACTACTTGTCTTTGTCGAATCGAATGAAATTATTAAGAAATATAGACAAAAATTCAAATCTTTACAAAGTCATAAACAGCGAACAAATGGATGAAAATTAAAAATTCAAACGCTAACATTTTTTTAGATTTTTTGTCTTTATATTTATGGAATTTAAAACATATGTTCCCATTTGAAAAAACGAGGTTCGTACTTATTTAACGTATAAGGGTTGAAGATAAAATTTTTCTAAATATTGAAAAATGTAGCTAAATATGTACCTAAAATTTTAGGGAAAAAAAAATTCGCAAAATATTCATACTTTCAGAGAAAATGAGTGTCTTACGTTAGTTGGATCACCCTGTATATTGCTCAAAGCTAAGAAAAAATATTATTTGTAATAAATGCACAGCAGCTTTAGTTTGAAGTCATAGTGAACCAAGGTCGCTAATAAGTAAAAAAAAACCGCGGTGGTTTAATAAGTCCATCAGTAGATAATATCATATAATTATGTAAAGTTGGTGAGTGCTTTTAAAATTTATAAAAATTAACTTTCAACAATACCCAATAATTTAATACATTTTTTAATTATAAAAGCCACCCCTCCCAGATTAATTTAAACAATATTTTCCTATCACTAAAAAAACCACATTTTAAATCAAGACCCAATTAATCACCATTTACTGCAACTAACTCATTTAGTATTTCAAAGCTATTTTAGAATCTGGGTCCATTATTACATATTAGGTCAGCCTACAAATCGAATAAGATCCCATTTAACAAAAACAATCCATTTTAAAAATCAATATAATTTATTATTACCTATAATTATATTTTATTATTATAATTACCTATTATTATTTATTATTCTTATTTGTATTATTATTAAACTTAGTGATTTTTTTTTTATATTTAGTACATATTAGGTACAACTACCTAATATGAAAAACAAACAAAAAAGGTATTGATTTAACAATAGGTACCTAGTCAATTTGTTTAAACTTAGATGCAGATCTGTGAAGGATTTTTAATCACAACAAATTAATAACTTAATAACTTTATGTATTATTACTAACAAAGTTGTAAAGAATATTGATATAATATATTAAGTATGTTGTCAAATTATTTTCGAATTCAGTACTTAAAAACACATTTTTGAGTTTTTTTTATTAAAGTTATACTCAAATGGGTTTTTAGTATTCAAACTTACAATAAAACTTAAAGTATGTAAAACAATATTTACAACATTTTAGTGTAATGATAATAGTTTACCAACAGTAAATTGTCTCTTGACTTTGTAAAGAAAAACAGTTTTCAAACATACTTACACGTTTAGTATTTTGTATTTAAATATAGGCATTATGAGATATTAAAGATGACACAATTTGTTTTAAAAGGATACCTCTTTGCCTTGTATGAGTTTACAAATTGTAGCTTATTGCAAAGTTCTTGTTTAGCGACACTCAAAGTTGAATAATTGTTTTACAAAAATTAATTTTATTAACTCATGAGAAGCTTACAACTATATATACATACATTTTTGTATTATGCACTATAAATTATATTCAATTTAAAATATCGGCAATGGCAACAAATTCTTTTTATCAAATTTTAAATTGGTTTGCTCTTAGAAGCATTCTATTGGAAATAGAAACACATGTTTTGTACAAAAATAGAGGCTATATTATGCGATATTAAAGATCTTAGCCGTGTTTTTATATTTGTTTTTTTTTTTTTACAAATTTTAAGGGTGAAGAAGTAGATTTTTCTAACTTTAATTCACCCAAAGTAAAAATTAGATAAAATTTATGCTTTGTAAAGTTACTAATTAAAGGAATTAGTCCAGTATTATAAAAGCTAGTGTACACAAAAAAAAATGCTCACAACTTTATAAAACCAATAGCCTTTCAGCTAAATACCTAACTGGAAATAAGTGAACAAAAAATAATGAGATGGAAAATAGTTGGATAACGTGTATTAGCGCGACACCTTTTGGTATTTTATACAAATACTGTTCTTTTAAAAAACATGTAACAACGTAATAAAATGCAAGTATTCTAAATTTTAATTACAATATAGAATATGTCAAGCAAACATAATTAATTATTTAAGTCACCACCTGACATACAAATAAAATCATTACAAATAATAATACGCATTACTTATTTAGTTAATTTATAACATATAAAAATACATTTTATATAGGCCTTATAAAAAAAATTGTAATTGTTTATAGAATATAATAACCCAATTGAATTTTACGAATATAATTGAGTCTTAGATATTGTCACCTTTAGTGATTTTCGCCAGCATGCACGCGTTTGTGTGTTGTGAAGTTCGAGTGTTGAGAAAAAGATCTGGAACATCTTATTTTAAGGCTTTTCATCAGTGTGTATAACTTTGATTATAATAACACGGGGTGAAACCTATTTATTACACAAAACCGCGGGGTCCGTCTTCTTAAATCTACACCACTGTTAATAATGTTATATCTATTGATACATTATTATTAGTAATGTAAAATAGACGTAACATATGTATATTTATGTAAAGTTGGTGAGTGTTTATAAAATTTATAAAAACCAACTTTCATCAATACCCAATATTTTAATTAAAAAAGCCACCCCTCCCAAATTAATTTAAACAATATTTTCCTATCACTAAAAAACCACATTTTAAATCAAGACCCAATTAATAACCATTTAATGCAACTAACTCATTTAGTATTTCAAAGCTATTTTAGATTTTGGGTCCATTATTACACATCAAGTCAGCCTAAAAATCGAATAACATCCCATATAACAAAAACAATCCATTTTAAAAATCAATGAAATTATTATTCTTATTTTTATTATTATTAAACTTTGTGATTTCTTTTTATATTTAATATATGTTAGCTAGTTGTAGCTTGAAAAAGAAACAAAAAAGGTATTGATTTTACAATACCTAGTAAATTTGTTTAAAGTTAGATGCAGATCTGTCAAGAATTTTCAATAACAGGTATACCTACCTAATAACTTAATAACTTGATGTATTACTACTAACAAAGTTGTACAGAATACTGATATAATATATTTAAGTGTGTTTTAGAACTATTTTCGAATGTAGTATTTAAAAATACATTTTTATTTAAGTTATACTTAAATAGGTTTTTAGTATTTAAACTTAGAAAAAAAATTAAAAGTATATAAAACAATATAATACCCTAATTAAATGTTGACGAATATAATTGAAACATTAATAATGTCACTTGAAGTGATTTTCGCCAGCATGCACGCGTTTGTGTGTTGTGAAGTTCAAGTGTTGAGAAAAAGATCTTGAGCAGAACATCTCATTTGTAAGGCTTTTCACCAGTGTGAACGCGTTCATGTATTGTGAGGGTCGATTTAGCAGAAAATAACTTTAGGCATACATCACATTTGTAGGGCTTCGTAAAATAGCGCGTAACCTTTCTCAATGTGTTTTACTCAATTACTGTTCGTTTAGAAAAAAAGCAAAAAACAAAATGCAAGTATTCTGAATTTCAGTTATAATATAGAATATATCAAGAAAAATTAATTAATAATTTAAATTACCACCCGACATACAAATACAATGATTAAAAAATACTTATATTCATTACTTAACTAATTACTTAATAACATATAAAAATACATTTTATGTAGGTCTTATAAAAAAAAATTCTGTAAGAGTTTACAGAATATAATACCACAAATAATTTTTTACAAATATAATTAAATCATAGATATTGTTACTTTCGACAGCATGCACGCGTTTGTGTTGTGTGAGGCTCAATTTTCGAGAAAATGACTTTAGGCATACATCTCATTTTTGGGCTTTTTACCAGTGTGGACAAGTTTGTGAGCTGTGAGTTTGTCCTTTCGAGAAAATGACTTTAGGCATACATCACATTTGTAGGGCTTTTCACCAGTATGCACGCGTTCATGTCTTGTCAGATTACATTTTCGAGTAAATGACTTTAAACATACGTCACAATGAAAGGGCTTTATACCGTTGTGCACGCGTTCATGTTTTATTAGGCTCGATCTATTAGAAAATGACTTTAAACAAACTGCACACTTGTAGGGCTTTTCTTCAGTGTGGACCCGTTTGTGAACAGATAGATTGTCCTTTCGAGAAAATGACTTTAGGCATACATCACATTCGTAGGGCTTTTCACCTGTATGCACGCGTTCATGTATTGTCAGATCACATTTTTGAGCAAATGACTTCAAGCAAACTGCACAATTGTAGGGCTTTTCACCAGTGTGCACGCGTTCATGTTTTGTGAGGCTCGATTTATCAGAAAATGACTTTAGGCATACATCACAATTGTAGGGCTTTTCACCAGTGTGCATGCGTTGATGTGTTGTGAGGTGCTCTTTTCGAATAAATGACTTTAAGCACACTGCACATTTGTAGTGCTTTTCACCTGTATGCACGCGTTCATGTTTTGTCAGATCACATTTTTGAGCGAATGACTTCAAGCAAACTGCACAATTGTAGGGCTTTTCACCAGTGTGCACGCGTTCATGTTTTGTGAGGCTCGATTTATCAGAAAATGACTTTAGGCATACATCACATTCGTAGGGCTTTTCACCTGTATGCACGCGTTCATGTATTGTCAGATCACATTTTTGAGCGAATGACTTCAAGCAAACTGCACAATTGTAGGGCTTTTCACCAGTGTGCACGCGTTCATGTTTTGTGAGGCTCGATTTATCAGAAAATGACTTTAGGCATACATCACAATTGTAGGGCTTTTCACCAGTGTGTATGCGTTGATGTGTTGTGAGGTGCTCTTTTCGAATAAATGACTTTAAGCACACTGCACAATTGTAGTGCTTTTCACCTGTATGCACGCGTTCATGTTTTGTCAGATCACATTTTTGAGCAAATGACTTCAAGCAAACTGCACAATTGTAGGGCTTTTCACCAGTGTGCACGCGTTTATGACTTGTGAGTCTCGATTTATCAGAAAATGACTTTAGGCATACATCACATTTGTAGAGCTTCTCACCAGTGTGAACGCGTTCATGACTTGTGAGGTTCGATTTATCAGAAAATGACTTTAGGCATACATCACATTTGTAGGACTTTTCACCAGTGTGCACGCGTTGATGTATTGTGAGGTACGATTTTCGAGTAAATGACTTTAAGCACACTGCACAATTGTAGGGCTTCTCACCAGTGTGTATGCGTTGATGTGTTGTGAGGTGCTCTTTTCGAATAAATGACTTTAAGCACACTGCACAATTGTAGGGCTTTTCACCAGTGTGTACCCGTTCATGTGTTGCGAAACTCGATTTATTAGAAAATGACTTTAAGCAAACTACACAATTGTAGAACTTTTCACCATTGTGTGCTCGTTGATGTTTTCTGAGGCTGGATTTTGTAGAAGAACCTTCTATTTTTTTATTCGCTTCATTACTTGTACCATTAACACTAGAACAAAGCATTGTCAAGCAATAAGTATAAAGTTCAAAAACAAATTATTCATATCACAATTTATAAATTATTATTATTATACATTCTATTTTAACTAAGTAAACGTACTGATTGTGCAAAAAAATTACCTAGTAGATTTGACTAATCCATCCAGTTTAGAAATATACAAGGTGATATCATCCCATCCTTTATGTGTTAAAGACTTACGAACTTACATTCAGACATAGGCGCAACTAGACCTACATTTAAGGGGGTGTTATAACTATGTATACCTGACTAATGAATAAAAAGTTCTTACCTTCAATTTTCATACTATTTGATATAATATAAAACATTTAAAAAAAAAATCTTAAATAACAAATTTCAACAGAGTATGAACATTATTACAATTTTATGCGTACAAATCAAGGATTGGGGCTTGAATTTTTAGGAGTGCTAATTTTGAGTCTGAGGGTTGATATATGCGCCTATGCGTTCACAAACTTGCGTTACCCACTGAACTGAAACTGTCGTCTTAAATTTTAAACTTTAGGGTTTAAACGCATAAAGCGACATATTTATTTAAAAAAATAACTTATTTGATTATTACCCCTCTATTTTACAAATTACAATTTGTTCATTATTTACCGTTAATTTCGAAAATAATGCACACCTTAAAGTTATAACTACTAGTTTAAAGTTATACAAGTGTTTAGATGCGAATTAGACAGTATGTTCTTAATCGAATTGTGACTAATTTAATAATAAGAACGGTATCGCGCTTTCATCAAACAATAAGATTGACAACTGTATACAAAAAATAATAATTGCCTTTACCTGGATTTGGTTTTGATAACTTGTTTTCTAATGCTATTCCGGGATGTCGAGTGATCACTATGCGCCAGAGTAATGTGTCGTGTCACTTTCTTTTTGGTAGCGAATGACATTTTACATATGTCACAGACAAATGTACATATTTCGTCCAAATCGTCATTTATCGTTGGCGTACCAGAAAGATCATTTTCTTCAATTTCAATTACAGATTCAAAACGATGTCCACTCAAGATGTCCACTTCAACTTTCACTGTGGTTTTGTTGCACGTACTTATGTCACTAAAAACAAAATTAATTTTAAAGCTGAAAAAAAGTATTTAAAAATATCTGTTAAGAATCATGCAGCTTTTGTAAATAATTAAATTAATCTAAAATGTTTTATGTGTCTCGTACATACAATATGCATATCTGTTATTTAATTAAAAGTCAACCTAAATTTGAAACGTAAGACTTTTAGTTTCAGCCGGGTGCTAAAAAGTTAGTGGGGGTTTTTTTTAATCAAATATAACTATTACTGTGATGTATTTAAAAATATTTTATTGTAAGCAAACCTATTTTTTTCAAAAAAATTACCCCTCTATTTTATAAAATACAATATTTTCATTATTTGCCCTTATTTCGAATATAATGTAATCCTTAAAGTTATAACTACTAGTTCAAAATTATACAAGAGTTATGATTCGAATTAGACAGTATCTTTTTGAACAATATGTGACTGAATTAATAATAAGAACGATATTGCGCTTTTATCTAAACAACAATAAGATTGACAACTATAAACATTAAATAATAATTTGCTTTACCTGAGTTTATTATTGACATCTTGTTTTCTAATGCTGTTCCAGGTTGTCGAGTGATCACCATGGGTCTGAGTAATGTGTCGTGTTACTTTCTTTTTGCTAGCGAATGACATTTTACATATGTCACAGACAAATGTACATATTTCGTCCAAATCGTCATTTGTCGTTGGCGTACCAGAAAGATCATTTTCTTCATATTCAAATACAGACTCAAAACGATTACCACCCAAAATGTCCACTTCGACCTTAACTGTGGTTTTGTTGCACGTACTTATGTCACTAAAAACAAAAAACAAAAAAATAATTAAAAAATATTTGTTAAAAGCTTTTGTACAAATTAGATTTAATTAAAATGCTCTATGTGTCTCGAACATACAATATACATATCTGTTATTCAATTAAAAGTCAATCTAAATTTGAAACGTAAGACTTTTAGTTTCAGCCGGGTGCTAAAAAGTTAGTGGGGTTTTTTTTTAAACAAATATTACTATTACTGTGATGTATTTAAAAATATTTTATTGTAAGCAAACCTATTTTAAAGATATAACTACTTATTTTGTTAACTTCATGGATAATAACACATTCGGTATTACAAAGTCAGATTAAACGTTGCCGTTTTGTAAACAGATATATACAGATAATATTTAAAATACTACATATTATTTTTGAAATGTAATTAAAATTATTATATATTTATTATTGTTCTGATACATTTTCGATAGCATTCAAATCATATCCAAACATTTATTACATTATTTTTTAAATGTATTTAAAATATTTAATTTAAAACTAATATTACTTAGACGCATCTCCATCGGTTGTTTTCTCAGAGTCTTTGGTAAACTGCTCTATAGACTGTTTATTTTCGTCCTCTATTTTTATCTTGGTTGTCTGGATATAATTGTCCATTTTAGTTTCAATTCTGGGTGGTTCCTCACTAAAAAAAACTATAAAAAATAAATTAGATTTAATAAAATTTGAACAAAAAAACATGATTTATCTCTCAAAAATAAACTATAGGCCGACTTTAAACTCATTAAAAAATTAAAATACAAGGACTAACACAAATAAATAAAACAAACAAAACCGTAACTATTTTCATTCAAAAATTTAATTTCAAATTCCATTTACATCTACTCTTAAATAATAAATATGTAAAAAAGTCTTTATTTTTTTCTGGCAAACGTAGATTATATTTGTTAAGAAAAAAATATACTTGTTAACATACAAACATTAATAATAACTTTAATCAAACCATTGTTGATTAACGGTAAATGGCTTTTGCCATTGCATTAATTGATGTTATATTTCTCGTCATAATATCGACTGCCCTATTAAACAATGTCTTTTTCCAAATTTCCTCAGGGAGAGCAAAATGAACGTTTAAAATTTATTCAAATTTATGTTTCATGACATTTTAAAAGTAATTTATTTCTAGTTTGTTTAGATGACGAGATATACGACTTTTATTATTGGCGCAAACTACGATATAATAACCTGGGAAGTTGACTAATTTAGAAAAAAGATAACTCAATATAGGTTGCTTACAGATGATATACATATTAATACAAAATGGGTATTATTCAAATATCATCAATACTAATTTTAAATAGAACTCATGGTTAACAATAAAATAGCTAGCAATGGTTTATAAAATAAAAGAAACAAAATTGCGCAGCTAATGCCATTATCACAACTACTAATTTTTTTGTAAATTGTCTGGCATACAAAAAAAAGGCATTACATTTTCTTTGTGTGGTTCTGGAATTACTTATTCTCATATTTTAATAAATATCTCCATTTGGAATGGCTCACTCTGGTCGTACATGTTATCAAATGCAAGTAATTGAATAACACACAAAACTTTTCTTAATTAGTTCAGTAGTTAGGGTGCAAATTTACCAAACATAAGAAAAAGTGTTTTTTAATAATGAGGCCAATTTATATAAGAAAAAAGTGGCATCTACTGTGGCAAATGGCTGTAGTGACTAGAGTTATCGTAACTACAGCCATTGATAGCGAATCTCACTCTACGGGTCTAAAATTATTGTACGCAAGAATCGTTTAGACCGTTTTAAAAATCACTATAGAACTTGTATACTATGTAGAAAACTAATCCATTCATTAGAACAAATAAAATGATAATAATTAACCAAAACGTTACTCAAGACTTACTGATATACGTCTACGAAACCCTTGGTCGGAGCTCCTAGGCCTTAAACCTAAAACGTCAGGTATAAAATCTTTAATCACACACTTTATGCAATTTAAACTTTTTTTATATGTAAACACACAACATAATATTATGAGTTTTAAAAAAAAGATGATATATCCTCCTTGATGTTGACAGTCTACTCTGTATACACGAGTGTGAAGTTAGCCATAAACGAGCCAGCAATATTTGATAACAGAAAGTGTCATGGCGTTGGTGTATGTTGTGTTGCCAATACACTTATTATTCTAAGGGGCAGTCCATATATACCCCAAACACCGACGATTATTATTATACGATATCGACTTAAATAATTAAATATATTATAATTATCGACAAAACAGTAAGAGTATATTATTTAACTTAAAAAAATGGCACTTGGGGTTTTGCGGCCGCCGAACCCAACCCAGCAATAAAAAAGCGGCCGACCGCCGACCGATTGCCGACCTAAACCGACGGCAGTTATGTCAATTTTGACAATGTTCCGGAAGAGGTCCCCTCAATTTGATTATACCAATCGAAAGCTTACTAAAATGTCTAAAAATTCGTCTCTATGAAAAAAGTTGGCACCCGGGGTCTTGCGGCCACCAGAAGCCGCCGAACCCAATCCAGCAATAAAAATACGGCCGACCGCCGGCCTAAACCGACGGCAGTTATGTCAATTTTTGACAATGTTCTGGAAGAGGTATCCTCAATTTGATTATACCAATCGAAAGCTTACTAAAATGTCTAAAAATTCGTCTCTATGAAAAAAGTTGGCACCGGGGGTCTTGCGGCCACCAGAAGCCGCCGAACCCAATCCAGCAATAAAAAAACGGCCGACCGCCGACCTATACCGGCGGCAGTTGTCTACTAGTTTTTTTTAATTGATGGTAAATAAACTAAGGTTAATTAGTGTCTTGTTTTTATTTTATTTTATATTTGTAATATTATTCATTTTTTTTTATGACTGTTAAATAAGGTTTTATAATTTTTCAAGATAATACAAATCATATTGTAACAAATCTACAGTCACCAAAAAAACTATGTATGGAATATTTAATTTTTCAGGAAATAGTTAATTATGAAAAAAAAAATTATAGTTTGTTATTTAAAATAAATAATATTATTGACTACCTATATAAATATATTATGTTAAAATACACTATTTCCACTGAATTTTGCCAAAACAAACTAAGTGGTGGATATGGTACGTTTTGGCGCGATTCGTTTCACAAAATTATGTTTTAATGTATCTAAATTTAAATTTACATATTAACAATTATCATAAATAAGTTCAGAATTCTTTTATGCATTTTTAGAATATTACAGTTTTTGTCTATGACTTTCTTATATGCTACAACAGAAATTCGATGTCACTGGAAAAAGCGAAAAATAGCAATAGCACGTTTTGCATTGTCGCCCTTCAATTTGGGTGTTCTTTATTATAAAGCTATTATTTAGTAGAGTAGTGCGACTGCAACAAGTACTCGGGTAAATTATATTAACTACAAACTGTTTAAAATATTTATTATGCTAAATATCCAGTTTAACCAATAATACTTTTTATTATTATACTAATATTAACTAAGTTTAAATGTGTTTAATTATTTAACAACGACTCTTAGTCCTGCCGATACCGTTAGTCGTTTAGTGTACTGTACGGTCCTTCACAGACGCGTACACTACAGCTGCAACGAATGGATATGATTTTTCTTATGCTACATTAAAATGATGTAGGCTGTAGCCTGTAGGGCATGTGTACAAATTGCTGGAAATTATTATTCTACAGCTAAATATTAAATAAATATTATGAAATCGTAATGCTTAATTTATTTTCCTACTGCTGTAGTCTACTACATAGTACACTTACAAAAAAATAATTCTTTTAGATTTTTTTTTATTTTTGCTTAAATTTGTATTTACTGGCCTATAAGTTAGCTACGCAAAATGTGTTTTTTAAAACCACCATGGACTATTTCAAAGGGATGATAGAATATCGGGTCTAGTATGATTATAAAATTAATTCAATAACACAATGTAATTATGTAAGCAGCTCATAATTCTGGGTTATTGTTAATTTATGTTAATGGATTATATTATATATTAGTTTATATTATATTATTTTATATATTATAGTTAGGTTGTTTTGCAGGATGTCATGATTGGCTAAATGACATCATAGCCCATAGGCCTTAAACTTTTAAATTGTTATTACACAGTATTTCTTATTGTAAACTAGGTCACGTCTAGTTACCCCTTGTAATTATTTTTAAAATTCGTGGGTGCGCGTGAAAAAGGGGTTAAGTCAACCACTATGAACTTTTCAGGAAATGGAAAATAAAGTTTAGAAGAATATGTAAGATCAGGTATTAGGATAAGATAAATATCTTTTTAATAAGATAATAAAATAACTTGTTTTATACTTTCCTGTATAAATTAGAATTAGAACACTATTAAATTGTAAATTCAAAAATATTTAAGTCGACTTATTACAAAATACACTAAGATCAGAAAAATAGTGACATCTCATCAAACACTTCTTTATTATTCATTGAATATTACACTTAGACTTAAACTATAAAACACAAATGATAGTTTTTTTTGTGAATTTGTCGGTGCATATAACTCATTTTGCACAAAATGTTGACTTAACCTCTTTTTCACGCGCATCCACGATAATATTATTAGGCCTTCCTAGTTCTCTAAGTTAAACGTCATTCACTAATTTATATATTACTATATAAACTGTTTTTTAATTAACCACAATTAGGCCAGTTACTTATGCCAGATCATAGACATAGTGTGTCAGTAAAAGTTATAATTATATTATATATATATATATATATATATATATATATATAATTGTTATTGTGTGTTTATTATAAATTACAGCTTTAAAGTCTTTTAAGTTAAAACGTGGTTTATATATATTCTCTTGGTCCTCAATTTTATGTAGTGAGCTCTGCTTACTACAATAGCATATATTTAATCTATAGTAGTGACGCAACGCCACCAGTTAGGTGCCTGTTATTTTTTTTTTTTTTAGATACTCCAAAGTAGCTTAGCTGCTTTAAATAGATATTTTATATACTATTTATCATGGTTTTTTCCACGGCACGGGGCACCTGCTGCGCCGGTTACTGTTGTCACGCCCAGTGCCTTTCAACATACGATAATGCTCTATTATTGTTATTATTGTTATTGTTATCAAACATGCCAGTTGCCACCTAAAACCGGTTTTGGTCGCGGTGCCCGAACCCGGAGATTTCGGCGCGACCGATTCGCCGCCAGAACAAGGGACGTTAAAATTATAATATATAACGAGGAATTACTTAATGCCATTCTAGAGGGGCTAGGATTTTATAACACAGAGATTAATGTATATTTATTTAATTTTAGTGTCAATGAAATATTGATATTTAAATCGAATCTGTTTATACAAATATATATTAAATACACTTTTATTTTATACAAATGTTTTGATTTTGCATAAATGTAATGTAATGTTTTTTAAAATTAACTTTTAAAAAAATAAGTACAGATTGATTTATATATTGTTTTCATTAAATGTAATATAAAATTATTTAAAAACAAATTATATGATTAGTTAACATTATATAAGCGCTTCTTCGGCGGTCGGTAGACGGCCGGCTGCTTATATTTTTGTGACTGGGTTCGGCGGCTTCTGGTGGCCGCAAGACCCCCGGTGCCAACTTTTTTCATAGAGACGAATTTTTAGACATTTTAGTAAGCTTTCGATTGGTATAATCAAATTGAGGGGACCTCTTCCGGAACATTGTCAAAAATTGACATAACTGCCGTCGGTTTAGGCCGGCAATCGGTCGGCGGTCGGCCGCTTTTTTATTGCTGGGTTGGGTTCGGCGGCCGCAAAACCCCAAGTGCCATTTTTTTAAGTTAAATAATATACTCTTACTGTTTTGTCGATAATTATAATATATTTTAATTATTTAAGTCGATATCGTATAATAATAATCGTCGGTGTTTGGGGTATATATGGACTGCCCCTTAGAATAATAAGTGTATTGGCAACACAACATACACCAACGCCATGACACTTTCTGTTATCAAATATTGCTGGCTCGTTTATGGCTAACTTCACACACGTTAAATTTTTAGTAGTATAGAATTTTGTAGGTACTATTAAAAAAAAGATTTAAAACATATTATTAATACAAAACAACAATTATTGTACTTTATTTATAAGAAAATTAAAACTTATTATTTGAATTACATTTTTCTTTTGGTTATATTTTTTCAAAAACATTTCAGTATCACATACATATTAAATAATAATCAATGCTTATGTCCCAAGTGACACGTGAGTATCATAAAGTATTAAAAACTATTAAAAAGTTGATATAGCTAAATTTCTAGCTCAAAGATAATAGGTGAATATTTAAAGTTTTATGAAATACATACCTCTCTAATGTAATAATAATACTGTTTAATTTAAATTTAGACTATATTAAGTGTTATGGCACTTAATATTTTATAACACAATACAATATATACCTACTTAAAACAGCAAAAAAATTGTTATTTCGCCAAAATGTTTTTTTAAATAACATTTTACTTAATGGGTATAACTGTATAATTATTAAAATTCGTGAATGATTTATTTTTTTTTTTATAGTCGTTATTTTAATTAAAAAATAGTGGTCGGTAAAAATTAATCAATTATAATATAACATCACTTTGACTGTGTTAAATGGAGCTATTTTCGCGCTGATGTAACATGACATGGATGGCCGAGCGGTCTAAGGCGCCAGACTCAAGGTTTCCCTTGGCCTGCTATGCAGGCGGTTGAGCGTTCTGGTCCCCTCATCTGAGGGCGTGGGTTCGAATCCCACTTCTGACAAACTTTTTGCATTTTTTTAATATGAATTTATTTAATTTTCTCTCGCCCCTATTTCTACGATAAAAAACGATTATTTACAACGCATGTCAAGTTGAACACATTTAACCAGTCCAACAAAATTATTATATAATAGGTAAATATACATTTATATATTATATTATAAAATCTTTTAAAAAATATTTTTTTAAATAGGTATCAGCTGATTTATGGGCCGAATTTTTCCGAGGGCCGGAAAGAATGCTTATTTTGCTTGTTGGTAGATCCGGCCTTGATTATACCTATTGTGTTTACTTTTAGATTATTCTTATTGTTAATTATTATCGTTTCTACACTATTTTAAGATATTATATTGTATAATATTTCTTTTAAATGTTGTTTCCGAAATTTGACGTCAATGAGATTGTTTTTTCATCGTTTTGTTAAGATGCCTTATAATAATAAAATATTATTATCAACTATAAATATAACATCAATAACATTACCGAAAAAAAAATCAAATACGTCAGTGTTTTTTTTCTTTTTTAACTTTTTGCACGTCTTGGTCAAACAGTTTAGCGAGGCGGCCAAGTGTATTTCTTTATATTTTTTTTTTGACATTTTTCCTATTGACGCAATTAAAAACATTGTACCTATTCCGTAGAATGTCACGCGAGAATTGTATACAATAATAATAATAACACTGCATCGGCGTCCACGTTATTTTAATATTATTCTAGTATAATTTAGTGTAGGGATTTGGGGGAATTTGCATAAAAGCTAACCAACTCGGGTGGAACAGGTATAGGTTGGCTTAGGTTAACAGCCAACAGGTATGTAGTAAATATAGTTCATGATAAAAACTAATTCAGGAGTTCTTGATTATATTAATATTATGGGTTTTGCTGTTAGGCCTGGGCTGACATTTAGATTTTACCAGCCAAATAATGCGCAACAACACTATGCCAAGTTTGTTTGACTTGAGGGAAGGGAAAGAGCCGGAAACTTTGTTCAAGTAAACACCAAAAAAACGCTAAGTCACTTTCCAAGGTGTTTAGCGAACCAATTTAAAAGATAATTATCATATCAACAAATTTAAAAAATGTTTTAATACATTTAATTTGGTCATAAATAATAATATCTGGCCAATACAAATAATAATAACAAAACAATTCAGTTTTAAGCAACTTAAAAAAACAACAATAAAAAATACTAAGGAAGTGTGTCACTGCTTAATCAGCTGTATGTACACTTAAGCTCCGACCACGAAAAATGATTTTTACAATGTTGCTTCCGGGCAAGTATCAATTTATTTTTTTGGCTAATCTGACTATAAAGCACAATAAAAATAGTTATAATTTTAAACATTTTTTATTATATTTTAAAAATATATTTTTTTTGGTTTATGGGGTATAATAATCACAATAATATATTTCACCCGGGTTCATTAATGGCTCAACGAGCATTCATCACATTTAGTTTAGACCGTCTAATACACATGTCAGGATGGCCGAGCGGTCTAAGGCGCCAGACTCAAGGTTTCCCTTGGCCTGCTATGCAGGCGGTTGAGCGTTCTGGTCCTCATCTGAGGGCGTGGGTTCGAATCCCACTTCTGACAAACTTTTTGCATTTTTCCCCCTCATTCACACTTTTGGTAACTAAGAAAATTGAATAGGTCATTTCCAAAATATTTATTATAGGGTGTTTAAAAAAGCTAAGTCGACCGAGAAAGATAATTTAAAAGTTTGTATTTGCTGACAATGAATCATAATGACTTTTCTGAAAACTTATTTTTTAGTTCTTACTAAGTTCTTTACTTTCAGAAAGTTTATAATCGTAAACAAAACTGTTTATTATAAAATACATTAGATAATATGACAATTTGGAATGTGCGGTTTGAAATAATTATTTTAATATAATAACAATAGTGCTGTATAATTTTTAATAAGTTATCTCTAAGATTTCTGGTGTAAATTATAATAACTGAGAAGCAAAAATCCTTTTTACTATATTAATGATGTTTATTGACTAAATATAAGCTACGCCCATCCAACTGAATCTCTCAAAACTGTCTTGACAATTAGTTAAAAGACAAGTATCACCTTCACCTTCAACTATAAATATATAATAAAGAGTTTGTTTTTTTATAAAAGTGTTGGTAGTACTATACTACAGCACAATCCTCTTAAACGACACATCCGGTCAAAACGTTTCGACATTTTATGCTCCAGAACTTAAAAAATAAAAAAAGTTGATTTAAAATTTACTAAACTTAACTTACTAGTTACTATATAGTACATTTATTGTACAGATATTACTCTTAGTCAGAAACTTTTTTCAATGGTGATAGAATGACCAGACATTCTGTGTATCATATGTCATTATTCATGAAAATTCTATAAAATACACAGGCTTTTTTATTACAAATAAAACATTGCAAATGGAGCTAGAGTTTTGCCTTGTTCAATATAACTTTGTAGTAGATTGAATATTTATTATTATAAGACAAACATGTGTTAGTGGTGGCTAAATATTATATATTTACAAATAATCACTTTAGTCACACTTATTAGATTGAATGATATGAAATCAGTTATATTCTTGTGTATTATTACCTCTTACATTTGATCTTGTGGCATAATAGGGGTTGAAGTGTGTGTTAAGTGACAAACCCAAAAAGTTCCTAGGAAAATAAAGAACAAGAACTGAATTAATCAGTTTAATAAAATCCACCAAAATCTATCTATTAAACCACATCCCCGAAACATTACTTTTAGTTTGAACAGGTCAAAGTTGATTTGTCTGATGCAGACAAATCAACTTTCCATAGTCATCATAAATTCATATTATGTTACTTGAGTAGTAAAAAAAAACCCCAAAACATGTTATTTCCTAAGTTTATTAAATATGAATAAAGAAGTTCTTGTTGCAAAAGTTAAAGTCTAAATATTGCGGAGAAATAAACATTTTATTAATATTCTGTCAGTTTATGTGCTGAAAACTTTAAAATTTGTCTGAACCATATCAGAATGATGTTTCATTAATTGCTCAGCGAGCATTCATCACATTTAGTTTAGACCGTTTAATACACATGTCAGGATGGCCGAGCGGTCTAAGGCGCCAGACTCAAGGTTTCCCTTGGCCTGCTATGCAGGCGGTTGAGCGTTCTGGTCCTCATCTGAGGGCGTGGGTTCGAATCCCACTTCTGACAAACTTTTTGCATTTTTCCCCTCCATTCACACCTTTCCTATCCTCGAATACAAGCATTTGTATTCGCAGAACGACCGTTTTGTTAATGATTCAAATTAATGTATTTTTTTTATTTGATACTTTTACTTTAAAAAGATTTACGATGGTCTTTTTTTTCTTTAGTATGTCCACTTGCAGTTTTACAGTCTAGTCTGGCTGCGCATCGCAAATAGCTTTTTTATCGTCCATAAAATATATACTAAGAACAATCAGCGTAAAGCAGAAATAATAAAAAGAAAAGGTTTAAGGTTTTTTTTTATTATTCAATTGTTTCTATCAATTAGTCACTAACTGAAACAAAACCATTTTACGCATATTTGGAAAAAAAAAACAAAGACATTTAGAAAACATATTCTTTATGAAATCCTACACACGACCAGAAAAACAAATATTTATAATTAACATTTACAATTTTACATACAAATTTGTCTAACATTAAAAAAAAATTAATCTTATTTAACATTTTATATACTCTACTTTTGATTATTACAAATTATAAACTAAATTTATCAAAATGTATTTTAGAGTATCAGATTGCCGATTGGTAACTTCACACAATTGTATAGGAAATTTCCAAAACGTCCATACATATTGATTTAAGGTGTTTTAAAAAAGGCCAAGTCGGCCGGAAAAATGATTGAATGCTTTGTAATTGTTGACAAAGATTCTTAATGACTTTTGATGAAAACCCCTCGAAGGAATACTTTTTTTTACAAATTCCACAAAAGCCTAGAATAGCTGATGCTTTTTTTTTATTATTATTATAAAAAACAACCGACGCAAAAAATATTATGTTTTTCTAACAATGATTAAAACTCCACCGTCATCTCATATTATATTTTGCTCGGTCCACGGCCGACTTGATGAAGCACGGAGAATCCATACTAATGTAAAATAATAATTGAAACCTAAGTGTTTCGGCAATCACATCAAGTCGATATCAACTAGAAAATTATTAATAATATTGTGTATTGGGTGCCACAAGGACTGTTAAAAATCAGGTCATTACCTATTGTAACATTAATTTGTTTTTTATCGACCTCGACGAGGAGTGATCGAACTTTGCCTCGGACCGCGCTTAAAGCTTTTTAAACAACAACGAAAATTCTCATTGTTAAGTTAATGACCAAATTAACTTGTCACTTAAACGGACGACCACGTGCATCGCTTCAGTGAAACGCCCTAAAGAGGTTGTTAACTAAAGACCCCAAAAAAAATAAAAAAATAAACGTATTGCTTATTGGTTGATACAATGAAAACCAAAAATGAGTAGGCGCAAGTTATAATTTTAATAAAATCTTTTTAATTTTGTATTTTAATTTTTCGGCTATTTCAAAATTTAAAAAAAAAAAAGACTTAAAATCCCTAACTATCACTACACATTGAAAATATGAATTCCACTTAAATTCTGTATAACAACAAAATTGGGTGTCCAAGAATTTAATCGTTACATATTTTCATAGAATTTCCTTCCTATTCTGATATATCTATATTATACATAATATACCTACTTATTGTAATTTATAAAAACAATATAAAATGTATAACTGCACAATTTTGGCTCTCCAAGTGTATATTCGATAAGTACCGTGACTTAAAATGAGTTTTTAACGGTTTATAATTTATTATTCAATATTTTAAATCTATAAAGCTTATATATATATATAATTTATTAACCCCTCAATTCCTTCATTTTACTTTAATTTCATCATTATACTCTTAAACATAAACTAATTGAAGGTAAAGGTAACATTTAGGATGACCAATATTTTGATCGTAAATTAAAAAAAAACGCTGAATTATTTGTTTAAACAATTTTTACTCGCAATTTCTTAAAAAACTATAATAATATTTTTACATTTTTAGAACTGTTATAGTATAAATATATATTTAAAACTAGTTTTCGACAAAATTCACATTTATTAAATAACAGTAATACATTACATTTGACAATTAGGAAAGTGCGGTTTGGAACAATTATTTTAATATAATAACAATAGTGCTGTGTAATTTTTAATAAGTTATCTCTAAGAAGCAAGTGAATACATTTTACAATATTAATAATGTTTATTGACTAAACATAAGCTATCATCATCCACTTGAATGTCACAACACCGTGCTGACAATCAGTTACACAGCAATGTTTGTCTATACCTTCAACTTTTGTTTCTATTGTATATGTTTTTGGGTATTCTATACTTCTGAACAATCCTTTTAAACGATACATCACGTCAAATTGACTTGCATCTGTATTGTCTAAAAATTTAAAAAAGTTTATTTAAAAATTTTACCAAACTTAACTTACCTACTACATTTTTTTAATGTGGCAAGACATAAAATTACCAAGAAGTTGATGTTTAAAATAATAATTGTTTTGTGTATGTTTAGAGTTAAAGGCAAAATATTGCGGAGAAATTAAGATTTTTTTAAAATTTAATCCTGTCAGTTAAAGTTCTAAGAACTTTTAAATTGTCTGAAATTTGTTATATAATATATAGTATATAAATTAAACCATTACAATTTGATAAAATATTTACCGTCTGCCTCATAGTATAAGCATAATCTTGTAACTTCCAGAGTTAGCTCTCTTCTTTTACGTCCAAGTTCTGACAAATCAGAGCTTTCAATACCTGTAAAAAATAATATATAACCGTGTTGATGACAAAAATATTTTACATAAAAAAAAATAAAAAGCTTATAGAACATAATACATTCAATGAACTGTAATAATGTTATTTTTTTGTTAACTTTCCCTATGATTAACTCGTAGAAAATAATTTTCCTATACTGGGAACTTTAATAACATATTATAATCTCATATTTTAATCATACTAAATTTAAGTTTATGTTATTCGAAATAAATATTAAAAAAACTAAAACTAAGATTATGGCTTTTAAATACTCACCACTTTCAGCATAACGTATATTGTTCACTATACTATTCAGTAAAGCTAGAATAAACAAATAGTTTGTTACGCTATTAAAATAGTTTCAAATGATAATATAGGATGATCATTTATATCTTGCACCACTCATAATATCTCATAGGGTTTAATAGGAGTTTTTTTTGTTTAAATAATATTTTTGTATCATGTGATCTTAGTTTTTCACAATTTTTATTGTTTTCACACCCCTCCTAACTTTTCAGTTCTAAAAAAGTTAATGAAATGTAAGTTTCAAAAGTTGATATGAAAATAATTACTCCCCTTTGAGAAGGGAGTGTGAATTGAGTACACATTGTATGAAAACATAATAGAAAAAAAAGAAAAGTTAAAAATCTTATTAAACCCTATGAGATATTGAGTGTTTCACGACAAATTTATCACTCTGTATTAGTATTAATAAAAATAAAGCATGCAACTTAATAATCGTTGATATTTCATAATAAATGTTGACACCTTCTTGAAAAGAAAAAAACAAATGGCAAAAAATAATGACAATTTTAAATTAAATAATAATATCAATTTTTAGCACTTATTTTCGTTTTGTATGAAGTTGTGGAGAACTTATACATATTGGCACACATATTTTGACTAATATATTTCATGTTTATAATAATCTATGTACTAAAATCGTGATTATAGCGGGAAAAATAGCCAACTTTTTTTAATATTCCAACCAGTTAATGAATAATTAATTAATTAAGAAAGGACTTATTTGACTTTTTTAAAAATGATATAGCGTTGGTTGTATTAGGTATATCGAAAAAATAAGGATGATGGAACTCAGATAACTTTGTCATAAATAATATGTATGAATTTTTTTCCTTAACTATTTATGAAGCCTGAGAAAAATTAATCCGCGTAAAACTCAATTCAACTGAAATTTTGTTTTAAATCGCTGTCAAGGATGCTGTGGTAGTCCGAAAAATAATTTAACTACTGAACTTATAGTTACACATCACAGTTTAACCTTTAAGTTAAGAATTGGTAAAAATTGCCTATACTTTACTCCTTAAAAATGGGCGGTGTGGCTCAAGTTACTCAATTAAGTCTTAGGACTATTTACAGTAAACAAATAAGTGTGTAATTACATTTTTTTTCAACAACACGAACATGAATATCTGTAACAAAAATATTAAATAATTATAAAGTAAATAAAAACCATTTTTTATATTTTATTTATAACAGTATTTAGAACTGAGTTTGTTTAAAGTGAGTTATCAGACATTTGAATAATTATGTTTCTAACAAACATTCCAACTTTTAGTAATAAACATATAGCACTAAGGCTTTGAAATCAAATCGAATATTCAGCATTGTTGCTTAGAAATAAATAATTAAATTAAATTAAATTAATTATGTAAATTATTAGGTATAATTACTTAATTCATCGGCTATTGCTTTTCGCAATTCCTTTTCGTTATCAATGCGTTCTAATATTTCAAAATAAACGAACATTCATTAAAATGTATATCTTAAGATAGAAATTATATGTACATAAATTATACATATGTGATTATGAAAGTATTCTAAATAACATATAAGAGTAATTACGCTGCAGTTCGCTTTCCTTGATTGCCATGTCTGAAATTAGAACGAGAACATTTTATACTTATTATCAAACAACTAATCTATCTAATATTTGAGAAATATTATTACCCGGTGCAGCAAACAGCAAAGACATTTTTTCTGAAATTTGTACAATGTAATTGAATTAGTTAATGATGTTGCAGTTATTTTGTTATTATGTTATTAGTGAGTAAATCAATGTGAATGTAGACAATCATATTTATTGTTATAAACATTAGAAAAGGTTGGAAGGGTGTACATCAGTGTTGTTTGTCCGAAAGATTGTTTTTGTATGCTGAGCTAAAATTCAAGATGTATCGTTTTTTAAACGGCAACATTATCTAAAAATGTACATATTTTCCAAATTAAAACTTTGATGTGCTATTACTTTTTCAAAAAAATTCGAGTTAATTCTAAATTTATGGAAAATTCTTTTAGCACAGTTCTACCGATTAAAAGGGATACACTTTTTTCAAGCAAAGTTTTAGAGATTTGGGTCTGAAAATAATTTTCACTACTACTACTACTACTACTACTACTACTACTACTTACTATTGCTACTCACTTGCATATAACTCTCTTACAGTGCTGGTTCATACTGCGCTTAGTTTTAACCTACTATCCATAGATTCGCTTGGAAGCGTTTATTTAAAAGTGATTATATCACTTTCAGCTATTCGTTTATTTTTATTAGAAATAAAAATAATTACCTATTGATGCAGTTCCACGAGCATAATTTGTAATAACAGGATACATTCTATCTAGAATAAACAAAAAATGCGTCGAGATATAAAATAAGTTATAATAATATGTACCATATACCTATGGAAATACACCATATTTTAAATGTTGAACACTTTTCACCCAAGTTAGGTTAAATATTTACTGTCTATAGCTAATTGCGCTCTAAGTAAATTTTAGAAACTGCTGCATAAAGTATACATTAATAATACTATAAAATATAAATAATAAATAAATATATAAATATATTTTTATAAATAAAGTATTTGCAATGTGATTAAAACAATGATATTATACATTTTGTGCACTCTTCATCTGATAGATTAAAGAAACTATAATTTTTAATTTAAAAATTATCTGATATTCAGAAAACTTGAGAAACCAATAATTATTATGTGACAGTATATACATTTTAAAATTTAAATACATCTTACCTCCTGCGTACTCCAAGTATTTGTCTGTAATAAGTTATTTAAAATAAGTATTTACAAATATTGAAACATAAAGTTAAATTTATATGATAAAAAAAAATACTGACTTGTGGTGGCAACCTGCTCCTTATAATCCGCTGTAAAAAAATTAATATTACATTTTTTTAGATTTTTAATTTCCCTGAGTAGGTAAGTGCGAAAATAAAATAAACAAAAATTACCAAGGTCATCTGCTCTAACATGTAGAATTACATATGATACAAAAACACAAAAACGAATCATTTTTATCTGCAAAAAATAATAAACATAAAAGCCTTTTGTATTAGACATACACATAATCGTCAAAATATTGTTGGCCCCAATTCGGAACTGAGAATGTTCTAGTTTTAAAATGATAACTTTTTAATCATAAAACCAATATTTTTATGTAGCTAGTTTTTTTAGATAAGAAATCGTATTTTGGTTAGACAACCAGATACCTGGGTGTTGAGCTTAGCTCTAATCTGGGGTTTCGCGACCATCTTCTGGTTATCAAGGACAAGGCATCGAGGCCAGCAGCTGCGCTTGGCCGTCTTATGCCCAATGTCGGAGGACCCAAATCAGAAAAAAATGTGAAAATGTACATGTCGTAATTAAAATTAAGTTAATTGCGAGCCCGCCTCGCAAAGAGGAAAACGGGATTTTATAACTCCAATTATTTGTAGTGATGCTAATAAACGGTGCTGCGTGGGAGGAAGTAGTCTGTAAACAGTTCCCTCACAGGTTAGCGATTACTTGGTTAAAAAAAAGAAAGAAAAAAAATAAGAAATCGTACTTGAAAAATACTTTCCTAGATTACTAGGTCAAAATAAAATAAAACTAATTAGTCACTTTTTTTTTTTAAATGTTATAAAGCCCTGTATTTTTAAGTTTAAAAATATGTACATTTTTTTGGTTTTTGGATTTTGGAGGAGAAGAGATGCACTGTTTTTTTTTTGGGTCCAATAAAGTACATATCTTTCAGGTGCTATTTCTGATCGATGACATGCCACACAAATAAAACGGTGTACAATTTCTGTAATATATTAAAATTAGTGCCAAGCGGTTAAAAGTCTATCGCAAGTTTAAATACGAAAATAAAAAAATATTAAAAACTCACTGGCGATCTTTGAAGTTATGGTAGAACTCTTGCGTACTTCCGTTTTAAAGTGACTTTCTTGCGATTTATCAACCGAAACCTGAAATTTCAATAGGTTTTGCAGTATGCAAATATTTTTTAGTATTGTCATTTGTTTATATAAGCGTGACACAATGTATAAACTATTGTGTTTACAACTATTGAATTTACAATCACTCGTAACACTAATGTTTATACTATAAAATGTTAACAATTTTAGAATGTATGTCATTTAGTTGATAAAATATCGAACCTATATTATGTTTTAAAAGAATTCCATTTTTTCCCTCTTTGAATCCAAATAAAATATCTAAAGGATAACTCAGGATTTAAATTGTAGTATGGTAAAAGGCCTTATCATATTATATTGATGCTGTAAAAATAAAAATATCAATTTTTGGCGTAACACGAAAAAAACACATTATTGTTAAACGTACGTCACACCTCTTAAATTGAGTAAATAAGCAAAACTAACAATAACAAAATGTGTTTTTATGATGTATTCCACCGATATTCGGTCTGATATTTGTTACAGCCATGGTTACACCAACCTTGGCTAGGAAGCGAAGCGAAATTTTATTTAAATGAACATTAAATATTTATGTACATACCAAACGGCAAACTAAAATATAAGAACGACGAAAAAACAAAAATATGTATACAATTAGTAGACTGACTAGAAATGCTCTAGCGCCTAAATAAATAGATAGGCAACTTAACCTATACCAAAATTAAACAATCTAGAGGCCACTCTACACCTGCGTATTTTTGGTCGAAAACAACTCATTCTACTTTAAACGTTCCCAAGAATACCCCGATTTGAGTTTTGAACAAATACTTGAATTTTTCGTAACATTTTCAAGGCATCGATCGTGACTTAGTTTTTTAAAAATATTTTTTGTTAATTGATTATTTTAGTTAAAAAAAGTTAAAAATTGCAGTTTATTGATATAATAATAATAATATTATATTATTTTTTGTTCAATAATATATGCAATATGGTACGTGTGTGCTTGTAATATGACGTGTGCATCAAGAAAGTATCCAACCTGACGAATGTCTAACGCCTCCTTAGCAGAGACAGAAACTAATTGTAAGATTATAATATTACATTGTATCGCATGTGTCACGTTCGGCCGACCGACCGACTGTTACGAAAAGTGTCCGAATCGCCGTTGTATGGTGTTCAATACGTTTAAAACCAATAAAAAAGGCTAAAAATCTGTAAAATGTTGATAAAATTATTTTACATCTTGTTGTGAAAAAGTTCGAAACTCAAAATTAGAGTTGATAGACTTCAAAAATATTTCGAATCGAATCTGTATTCAGGTAAAACATAACAAATGAGTTTAGAATTGTAATCAAAACTGTTTATTAAAAAATACATTACATTTAACAATTTGGAAAGTGCGGTTTGGAACAATTATTTTAATATAATAACAATAGTACTGTTTAATTTGTAATAAGTTTTCTCTAAGATTTCTAGTATAAATTAAAATAGCTGAGAAGCAAGTGAATACTTTTTACTATATTAATGATGTTTATTGACTAAACTAATAAGCTATCCCCTTCCAATTGAATAACACAAGACCGTCGTGACAATCAGTTAGACAACAATTATTATCTTCACCTTCAACTAGAGCTTGTTTTATAAACAATTTTGGTAGTTCTATACTACTGCCCAATCCTCTTAAACGACACATCCGGTTAAACCGTTTCAACATTTCATTCTCTGGAATTAAAAAAATTAAAATAGTTTATTTAAAAATTTTACAAACTTAACTTAGTAGTTACTACATTCATTTAATGTGCAAGGCAGATATAAAATTCAGTCAATAATTTTTTTTAATGTAGATAAATTATCTGGACACCTGTGTATAATATTTTAAAATTAAAACGTTGCAAATGGAAGCTGGAATTTCGCCATATTGCATATAACTTTGAAGTAGATTGAATACTTATTATTATAAGTCAAACATGTGGTATTAGTGGAGGCTAAATATTATATATTTACAAATAATCACTTTAGTCATTACTTATTATGTTAAATTATATGAAATCAGTTATATTCTTGTGTATTATTACCCCTTACATTTGATCTTGTGGCATAATAGGGGTTGAAATGTGTGTTAAGCGACAAACCCAAAAAGTTCATAGAAAATTAAAGAACAAGAACTAAATTAAACAGTTTAATAAAATCCACCAAAATATACCCTTTTTATTAAACCACGTCCCTACACGTTACTTTTAGTTTGAACATGTTAAAATGTATTATTGCTTTTTTTTTTTAGGTTTGAAGAACGACTTTACTATGTAATGCACCGGTCAAAGTCAACTTCCCATAGTCATCATATTTAGATTATGTGACTTGAAAAGTAAAAAAAAACTCAAAAACATGTTATTGCCTGAGTTAATCAAATAAGAATAAAGAAGTTCATATATCAAAATATTGCGGAGAAATTAAGATTTTATTTTTAACTTTGTTCTGTCAGTTAAAGTGCTGACAACTTTTAAATTTCGCCTGAGCCGTTTTTCAGAATATGTATGTATATAATATAAATTTAACTATTACTATACGATAAATAGCCGTGTTCGTGCCAAAAACAGTATACATAAAAAAAAAATGAATAGTTCGTGTTATTAATGTAGTACACAATACATTCAATGAACTGTAATATTTATGTTAACTTAATTTTTCTATACTTGAAATTTTCAAAAAATATTTTAATCGCACAAGATTTAAGTTTTTGTTATTCGAAACAGTTATTAAAAAAAACTAAAACTAAGATTATAGCTTTTATACTCACTACTTTCAGAAGAAGGCATTTCTATTATTTTAGCACTCAAAAAAGCTAGAATAAACAAATAATGAGTTCAGCTATAAAGTAGTTTCAAATAATAATATCGAGTATATAAATATATAATATGAATTATACTCTTAAAATATGATATAATATTTACGTGGTACAGCATAGATTCGGATTGCAATCTTTACAGCTTTTAAAGTTAGAACTCTTCTCGCATGTCCAAGTGCTGGAAACTCACAACCTTAAAAATTGATAAAAATATCAAAACAACTGTGTTGATGACAAATATATTATACATAAAAAAAAGTGAATTGCTGTTGATGTAATACATAATACATTCATTTTAAACTGTAACAACGTAATTTTTTTGTTTAACTTTCCTTATGATGATCTTGTAGAAAGTAATTTTTTAATATACTTGAAACTTTAATAACACATTAACATTGTCCGACAACTCACTTAGGTTGTTAAGGAGCGAAAAGCTACAAATAGTAGAACGTTTTCAATCATACAATATTTAGGTTTTTGTTATTCGATATAGATATTAAAAAAAACCACTAAAAAACTTGTGCTAATGTGTTAATAAAACTAAGTTTATGCATTTTAAATACTCACTACTTTTAACACACACATACTTTTTAATACTTATTTTCGTTTTGTATGAAATAATGGAGGACAAAATAAATATTGACACAAATAAAACTAATATATTCATTTTCATAATATTATTTTAAAGACAACAACAAATAATGTATAATTAAGTTACACAATTAAGTCTTAGGGCTAAATACTATTAACAAATAAATGGGTAATTACTTTTTTGTTCAATGTCAGTATAATTAATTTCTGTAACAAAATTATTAAATAATTATACAGAAAAAAAATACTATTATTAATATTTTATCTATAACAATTCGGTATATTTACTTAAGATTTCGAGTATTTCGCTTTGCAATTTAGTTTCATAACCAATGCGTTCTAAAATTAAAAAAAACAGTAATTTGAATGTTCATCTTTTCTTAAATTAGAAGTTATATGTATGTAAGTATATAATAATAAATCTCCATTTATATAAATTATGCATTTAAGATTATGTAAAGTATTCTAAATACAAAACATATAGGAGTAATTACGCTGCAGTTCGTTTTCCTTGATTTCCATGTCTGAAATTAGAAGGAATACATTTTATACTTAATATCAAACAACTATGTGCAAATCATCCTAACATTTGAGAAATATTATTACCCGGTGCAGCAAACAGCAAAGACATTTTTTCTGAAATGTTCAGAGTATAAATTAATTAGTTAAAAATATTGCAATTATGTTGTTATTATATTTTAAGTGAGAAAATCAATGTGAATGTAGACAGTCATATTTATGTACATTGGTGTTGTTTGTCTGAAAGATTGCTTTTATCTGTCGAGTAAAAACTTTATTTATTTTTGATTATATAAATATTACCCATCGGTTCATTTTCTTCAATATATTTTATAATTATAGTATGCATGTTTTCTAGAATAAACAAAAAATGTATTTAGCTATAAAATTAGTTTTATTATAAGTATATACATCTTCTAAATGAGAATACATTATGTTTAAAGTGTTGAATATTCAATACTTTTCTCTCTAGTTAGGTAAAATAGTCTCTATCTATAACTAACTGCGCTCTAAGTAAATATATATATTTGTAATAGATAAATTCATTGTCATAAATAAAGTATTTACAAAGTGATCGAAAGACTTATACATTTTATGCACTCTTCATCTGAACAAATTATAGAAACTATAATTTTTAATTTAGAAATCATCTGTTGTTCAGGAACACATGACAAACCAATAATTATTATGTGACGGTATACATCTTACCTCCTCCTGCAAGCTTGATATATTTGTCTGTAATGCATTATTTAAAATAAGTATAAACAAATATTGAAACATAAAGTTAAATTTATGTGTTGAAAAAAAATGCTCACTTGTGATGGCAACATGATTCTTATAGTCCGCTGTAATAAAATGAATTATTAATTTTTTTTTAGATTTTTAATTTCCCTGAGTAGGTAAGTGTGAAAATAAAATAAACAAAAATTACCAAGGTCATCTGCTCTAACATGTAGAATTACATATGATACAAAAACACAAAAACGAATCATTTTTATCTGCAAAAAATAATAAACATAAAAGCATTTTGTATCTATACACTAAAATATCTTATATAATAATCTATACAATAAATATATATTAAAATAGCGATTATAGTGGGAAAAATAGCCGACTTTAAATAGCGCACTTGACCAGAACGAAAATCCTAAAACGCGGATGGTATTGCCGGACGCCTTGAGACCCGAGTGCGCCCGAATTATTAGCACTGATAACCTGGTTGTTATCATATACGCGGCTGAATATAACATGGATCCTCATTGAAAAATAATAAGTTCCACGATTTTTCCACAAGGAGCGCTATTAAGAAAGAACTCTTGTTGACGCAGATATACGCGAGGTATAGGCCGATACGCAACCAGTCTATCTACATCCGTGATAACTGTTATAGATTTATTATTAACAATCGAATTCGTTCGATCATTTTTATATCGATTACTTATCATTTGATTATTATTAAAATCATTCGTTAATCACTAATTAACTTATGGATAAACAGAAATAAATCATTAGCCCACGCAGACATGGTCTGCGGTATCTCACTAGGTAAACATAAAAATCAGAATATAATTTTAGGCTCCAATTCGGAACTGAGAAGGTTTTAGTTTTAAAATATGATAGCTTTTTAATCACAAACCGATATTTTTATGTAGCTAGTCTGTAAGAAACCATACTTGAAAAATACTTCTCTAAATAAAAAGTTTAAAATAAAAAAATTAAATCCTATTTATTATTATTCGAACTCGATTGACTCTCAAATGTCGTATAGCGTATATAAAGTTGTATGTTATTTTATATTGAAAAATATGTAAGTTTTATGTGTTTTTTTCGATTTGGAAAATATCGCGGGTCTAGATATAAAAAATAAAATCATTATTGTAATTAATAAAAATCCTTCAATACCTTCTCAGCTCGTCACCAAAGCTAAAACAAAATGTTGCATGCTATTACTTAGCCCCTTAATTGATAAACCCACTGTTTGTTTTTTACTTAGCAATATCTTACATGGCATTTATGAAGTGTTTTTATTTGTAAGTACTACATCTAAAAATATTTCATATAAATTTGGAATTATTTTTAAAATAATAATATTTACAAAGCACTATTCAAATTTAAAAAATAATAGTTCTTTATAAGTAACCGACAAAAAGAATACACTTACTATGTTTCATTTCATTTAAGTTATTTTTTTTTTATTAAATTTAAATTGAAAACGTCTCCCGTCACCATTATGTTAAAAATAAAAATTGAAATCATATGTATTAGAATATCTTTTTAGCCAAAAGTATCCTACTTTCATTTAAAGTTTAAGGGAACTATTTTTAAAAATCTAGTTATTGTCACTTTAGTTAACGTGGTCACGTTAACTTTGGCATGTTTGAATTTTTTAAAAAAATGTATAAAACCCTTAGCCAAATATAAAAATATCATAGCAAATCTAACAAATTCCTAGCAATAATTCAGTATGGCTTTATAGTCCTGGCATAATGTGCCGGTGACAACTTGACCTATATGTACAATTTCTGTAATATTATTGAAATTATTATCAAGCGGTAAAAAGTATATCGCATGTCTAAATATAAAAATAAAAAAATTAGAAAAACTAAATAAAAAAATATTAAAAACTCACTGGCAATCTTTGAAGTTGTGGTAGAATTCTTGTAAACTTCTATGTTAAAACAACCGTTTTAAAGTGACTATCTTGCGATTTTTGTCAACCGAAACTGTAAAATTTCAAGAGGTTTTGCAGTATGCAAATATTTGTCAGTATTTTAACTTGTTTATATAAGCGTGAAGCATAGTATAAACTATTGTGTTTACAACCATTGGTCTTACAATCGCTCGTAACACTAAAGTTTGTACTATAAAATGTTAACAATTTTAGAATGTATGTCATTTAGTTGATAAAATATCGAACCTATATTATGTTTTAAAAGAATTCCATTTTTTCCCTCTTTGAATTCAAATAAAATATCTAAAGGATAACTCAGGATTTAAATTGTAGTATGGTAAAAGGCCTTATCATATTATATTGATGCTGTAAAAATAAAAGTGTTAATTTTTTCCGTAACACGAAAAAAACATATTATTGTAAAACGTACGTCATACCTCTTAAGTTGAGTAAATAAGAAAACTAACAACAACAAAATGTGTTTTTATGATGTATTCCACCGATATTCGGTCTGATATTTGTTACAGCCATGGTTGACCCAACTTTGGCTAGGAAATGAAGCGAAATTTTATTTAAATGAACATTAAGATAATATGTGTATACACAAAACGGTAAAAAAAAGTATAATGCATGGTTTAGCCATTACTTATTAGCAGACAGCGAATATTATGCTTCTCGGTTCCAGTACACATGCGTGCGTACAAAATAATAAATATTCTTCCGTTTAAGAGTGATTTTATCCGAGGGGACTAGTACAGTAGAGCATAGGCATAATGGAATCAAAGTATAGAGGGGACGGAGAGATCAGAGGTCTACAGGAATTATTATAAATAAAAGTGATAAAAGTGAATAAAATCACTTTCATATAAACGCTTTGATGCTTATTTGTAAATACAGCACCTCAACTTAATACTTTCTAATTTTGCTGGTTTACAGTGTGCTTGTTTCGGACTGTACTGGCTTGAAACTATTGGTTGGCATCGAAGCGTTTTTTCGATAGCTATTTTATCACTTTCAGATTTTAAAACCCTTCTGTTATCTCCCCTTCCCCACTATACCCCAACCCCACCATGATCCATCCCCACTAAGCTCCGACTCCACTGTACTGGTTTATTTTAAATTTGTACATCACTTTATAGTAAACTACTACTTTACAGACTGATTTACGTTTTCTTAAGTAAGTATTTTTAGAGCCCACCAAATTGTTACACCAAAAAAATACAAGAAATAAGTGATATATATTTTTTTTAATGTTCATTATTAACTAAAAGAAATGTTTAATTTATAAACGACGAAAAACATAATGTATACAAAAAGGCTATTAGGTAAAACTATTTTAGCGCCTAAAAAAATAGTTAGGCAACTTAAGGTACACAATAAAATAAATAATCCGTGCACAACTTGAAAACTATGCTTTTTAACTAAACTCTGTTACTGAATGATATCAGCTGGACACACGTAGATCTTGACAGCTACGCAACAACTATCATTATGCTCTTAAACAGTGTTCTGTGTTCTAAAATCATAGGTGATATATGTATCAGAAGTTGAACGAATCTGTCATAGTAAAAAGGACACATTATAGCAAAAAAACCTACTTGCCAAAACACAAAATGCATAGCTAAAAATAAGTGTTAATTTTTATTAACAGTATTATAACTGTAAAAAATTAAACATAAGTATTTGTATTAATAATCCTGTAACTATACATTATTATACAGTTTGTCCATAGCAAGTCATATCTTTCTTACTTCTAGTACACTGCCCAGCAAGATTCAACTATACAAGCACCAGATTTTATATTTTAAACCAGTGTTCTCTTTTTTCACAATCTAATACATTAGGTATATTATTTCTTGATAATCAGTGTAAACGGACTATGCCTGTATAATAATCATAAACATTAAAGTGAGCATGGTATTGCCTACGACGTGGTTTGTACAAGCTAGAATAACGATACATGTTTGTTTCACTACTCCAGAAAATGCCCAATATAGTCCATAATGACCTAAATTTGCTAGGAATAAATTATGTCAAATAAAAGGCAACTATAATCTATGAAGACAATTCTTAACGTATAAGGCTTAATGGGTTATATTAAGTCAATTAATAGGATGATTAAATGAAGTAAAACTATTTTTAAGAAAAAAACAACATATGAGTTTAGAATTGTAATCAAAAATTTTAAAAATACATTACAATTGACAATTAGGAAAGTGCGTTTTAAAATAAGTATTTTAATATAATAACAATAGTGCTGTATAATTTTTAATTAGTTATCTCTAAGATTTCTGGTATTAATTACAATAACTGAGAAGCAAGTGAATACTTTTTACTATATTAATGATGTTGATTGACTAATGATAAGCTATCCCCATCCAACTAAAACACACGAAAGCGTTGTTACAATCAGTTAGCCAACAAGTATCACCTTCATCTTTAACTACAGCTTGTTTTATAAAAAATGTTGGTTTTTCTATACTACTGCGCAATCCTTTTAAACGACACATCCGGTTAAACCGTTTCAACATTTCAATCTCTGGAACTAAAAAAATTTTAAAAGTTTATTTAAACATTTTACAAACTTAACTTAACTTAGTAGTTACTACATTCATTTAATGTGCTAGACAGATATAACATTCAGTCAATAATTTTTTTTAATGTAGATAAAATAACTGGACACCTGTGTATAATATTTTAAAATTAAAACGTTGCAAATGGAAGCTGGAATTTCGCCATGTTGCACATAACTTTGAAGTAGATTGAATACTTGTTATTATAAGACAAACTTGTGTTAGTGGTGGCTAAATATTATATATTTACAAATAATCACTTTAGTCATTACTTGTTATGTTAAATTATATGAAATCAGTTATATTCTTGTGTATTATTACCCCTTACATTTAATCTCGTGGCATAATAGGGGTTTAAGTGACAAACCCAAAAAGTTCATAGGAAATTGAAGAACAAGAACTAAATTGAACCGTTTAATAAAATCCATGTTACTTTTAGTTTCAACAGGTTAAAATATATTATCGCTATTTTTTTTTTTTTTAGGTTTGAAGAAAGATTTTACTATTTAACGCACCAGTCAAAATCAACTTCCCATAGTCGAGATTTTTAGTTTATGTTACTTGAGAATTAAAAAAGAAACCCAAAAACATGTTATTGCCTGAGTTAATTAAATAGGAATAAAGAAGTTCTCATATCAAAATTGTATTTTAATTTTTATTCTGTCAGTTAAAGTGCTGACAACTTTTTAATTTGTCTGAACCATTTTTCAGAATATGTACATATATATAAATTATAATATAAACTAAACTATTACAATTTTATAAATAGCCATGTTGATGGCAATAATAGTATACATAAAAAATAATTAACAGCTCGTGTTAATAATGTGGTACATAATACATTCAATGAACTGAAATAATGTAATTTTTTGTTAACTTTCCCTATGATGAACTCGTAGAAAGTAATTTTTCTATACTTAATAATAACATATTTTAATCACACAAGATTTAAGTTTTTATTATTTGAAATTAATTTTGTAAAAAAACTAAAACAAGATTATGGCTTTTAAATACTCACTAGTTTCAGAAGAAGGCATTTCTATCGTTTTAGTACTCAAAAAAGCTAGAATAAACAAATAATGAGTTCAGCTATAAAGTAGTTTCAAATAATAATATCGAGTATATAAATATATATATATATATATATATATATATATATAATATATAATATGAATTATACTCTTAAAATTTGATATAATATTTACGCGGTACAGCATATTTTAGGATTGCAATCTTTACAGCTTCTAAAGTTATATCTCTTCTCGCATTTCCAAGTGCTGGAAACTCACAACCTTAAAAATGTATAAAAATAAATAAATAACCGTGCTGATGACAAATGTATTATACATAAAAAAAATGAATTGCTCTTGTTGTTAATGTAATGCATAATACAATTGAATAATGAACTGTAATAATGTAATATTTTTGTATAACTTTCCTTATAATGAACTCGTAGAAAGTAATTTTTTCTATACTTTAAACTTTAATAACATACTATAACACATTAACATTAGCCAACATTCCACTTTAATTGATAAGAAGCGAAAGGCTTCAAATAGTAGAACGTTTTTAATTATACAATATTTAGGTTTTTGTTATTCTATATACATATTAAACAAAAAAAAAACTAAAAAAACTTGTAATCATGTGTTAATAAAACTAAGTTTATGCATTTTAAGTACTCACTTCTTTTTACAAAAATCTTTTTCAATAAATTACATAATACAGCTAGATAAACAAAGAATTAGTTCAGCTAAAGATAGTTTTAAATAGCATAAATAAATAAAAATAAAATAATCAACTTAATAATCGTTATTATTTAATAATTAATGATGACACCTTCTTTAAAACAAGACCACAAACGGAAAAAGGTAAAAAAAAATGAAAATTTATAGGAAAATAATAATATCTAATTATATAATAAATTATAATTTTTCAATAAATATTATAATTAAATCATAATATTAATTTTTAGCACTTATTTTCGTTTTGCATGAAGTTATGGATATGGAGGACAAAACAAATATTGACACAAATAAAAATAATATATTCATGTTCATAATGTTATTTTAAAGACAATAACAAATAATGTATAATTAAGTTACACAATTAAGTCTTAGAGCTAAATACTATTAACAAATAAATGGGTAATTACTTTTTTGTTCAATGTCAGTATAATTAATTTCTGTAACAAAATTATTAAATAATTATACAGAAAATAAATACTATTATTATTTTATCTATAACAATTCGGTATATTTACTTAGGATTTCGAGTATTTCGCTTTGCAATTTAGTTTCGTAACCAATGCGTTCTAAAATTAAAAAAAACAGTAATTTGAATGTACATCTTTTCTTAAATTAGAAGTTAAATGTATGTAAGTATATAATAATAAATCTCCATTTATATAAATTATGCATAGTATTCTAAATACAAAACATATAAGAGTAATTACGCTGCAGTTCGTTTTCCTTGATTTCCATGTCTGAAATTAGAAGGAATACATTTTATACTTAATATCAAACAACTATGTGCAAATCATCCTAACATTTGAAAAAAAATTATTACCCGGTGCAGCAAACAGCAAAGACATTATTTCTGAAATTTGTACAGTGTAATTGAATTAGGTAATGATATTGCAATTATGTTGTTATTATATTATAAGTGAGAAAATCAATGTGAATGTAAACAATCATATTCATGTACATTGGTGTTGTTTGTCTGAAAGATTGCTTTTATCTGTCGAGTAAAAACTTTATTAATTTTTGATTATATAAATATTACCCATCGGTTCATTTTCTTCAATATATTTTATAATTATAGTATGCATGGTTTCTAGAATAAACAAAAAATGTGTTTAGCTATAAAATTAGTTATAATTATAAGTATATACATCTTCAAAATGAGAATACATTATGTTTAAAGTGTTGAATATTCAATACTTTTCTCTCTAGTTAGGTAAAATAGTCTCTATCTATAACTAACTGCGCTCTAAGTAAATTATAGAAACTGCTGCATAAAGTTTACAATTATAATTGTACTATAAATAATATATAAATATATATATTTGTAATATATAAATTCATTGTCATAAATAAAGTATTTACAAAGTGATCGAAAGACTTATACATTTTATGCACTCTTCATCTAAACAAATTATAGAAACTATAATTTTTAATTTAGAAATCATCTGTTGTTCAGGAAAACATGACAAACCAATAATTATTATGTGACGGTATACATCTTACCTCCTGCAAGCTTGATGTATTTGTCTGTAATTCATTATTTAAAATAAGTATATACAAATATTGAAACATTAAGTTAAATTTATGTGTTGAAAAAAAATGCTTACTTGTGGTGGCAACCTGCTCCTTATAATCCGCTGTAAAAAAATTAATTATTACATTTTTTTTAGATTTTTAATTTCCCTGAGTAGGTAAGTGTAAAAATAAAATAAACAAAAATTACCAAGGTCATCTGCTAAAACATTTAGAATTACAAATGATACAAAAACACAAAAACGGTTCATTTTTATCTGAAAAAAATAATAAACAAAAACGCGTTTTGTATTGGACATAATTTTCAAAATATAATTATAGGCTTCAATGCAGAACTGAGAAGGTTTTTTTTTTTTTTTTGGTATATAGAATCTTTACAAATACATGTATAGATGCTAATTTTGATTACAGTAACAAGTTAGGCTTGAGTAAGAAGCCGCCCACCGACGACACTTCACGAGAAGGTTTTAGTTTTAAAATGAAACTTTTTAATCCATAAACCGATATTTTTGCGTAGCAAACCAGTTATCCTAGATAACAAGGTAAATAAAAAAAAATATATCTTATTTATTATTTTAACTAATTTTACTATTTTTAAAAGTAGTTTTAGAGCGTTTTATTTTTACAGCTATAAAGTCAAGGAACACCTGTACTTATTTTTGAGAAAATTGTATATGTTATAGTTCCATTTTAGATCTACCTTTGGTCTAATTTTCAGATCTAAATGTTTAAAACTTTGCTTGAAAAAGCGAAATAAAGAAAAAAATTCTATCCCTTCTAGGGGAAACGGTTTATTAATGTTTATTGATGTTGAAGAACAATGCTATGTTTGAAGAACAATTCTTATAAATTTGGAGCTTTTTCGACTATTTTTTAAAAAAGTTATAGAGTATCGTAATTTTAAGTTAAAAAATGTGTACAATTTTTGGGTGTTTTTCTCGATTTTGATAGGGAAGGGGTGACTTTTTTAAAATTTTGGCCTTATTAAGTACCTTCCAGGTATGATTTCTGATCTATAGAGTTGCTATACGAAGAAATCGGTTCAGCGGTTTACAAAATCGTGGGACCAGATACAAAATTAATTTTTTTTTTTTAAAAACATCATTTTAGGAACAATACCTTCTCAGTTCCGCACCGAAGCTAATATAGCGTATAATTTACTATTCTATACTTAGTTTCCGTTGCTGATTATTTGTTTTCAACGAAATTTGGGAACTAGAAAATTACAAAAAGTGCCAAGTGAAATCAAGCACTTCTCCATAAATATTTTGGGATATGAAATTTGATATTTGGACGATTTTCTGGTGCGTGGTCACGTTAGCACTGGCATGATTGTTTTTGTTATAATTTTATATAGGACCCCTAAGAAAATATGAAAATAGCCTAGAAAATCTAGAAAATTCCTAGCAATAGTTCAGAATGACTTTTATAGTCCTGGCAGAATGTGCCGGTGATAACTTGACTAATATGTACAATTTCTGTAATATTATTGAAATTAGTGTCAAGCGGTACATCGCAAGTCTAAATATGATAATAAAATAATAGAAAATTAGAAAAACTAAATAAAAAAATATTAAAAACTCACTGGCAATCTTTGAAGTTATTGTAGAACTCTTGTGATCTTTTATATTAAAACAACCGTTTTAAAGTGACTTTCTTGCAAATTTTGTCAGCCGAAACAGTAAAATTTCAATAGGTTTTGCAGTATGCAAATATTTTTCAGTATTTTCACTTGTTTACATAAGCGTGAATCATAGTATAAACTATTGTGTTTACAACTATTGGTTTTACAATCGCTCGTAACACTAATGTTTGTACTATAAAATGTTAACAATTTTAGAGTGTATGTCATTTAGCTGATAAAATATCAAACCTATATTTTAAAAGGATTCCATTTTTTTCCTTTTTGAATCCAAATAAAATATCTAAAGAATAATTCAGGATTTAAATTGTAGTATGGTAAAATGTCTTATCATATACTAAAGCAGTAAAAATAAAAGTGTTAATTTTTTCCGTTACACGAAAAAAACATATTTTTGTAAAACGTACGTCATACCTCTTAAGTTGAGTAAATAAGAAAACTAACAACAACAAAATGTGTTTTGTGATGTATTCAGCCGACAGCTGCGTTCGGTCTGATATTTGTTCTAGCCATAGTTACACCAACTTTGGCTAGAAAACGAAAAGAAATTGTATTAAAATGAACATATATTACAAGATATATGTATATAAAAAACGGCAGACTAAAACATAATGCACGGTTTAGGCATTAACTACTTATCAGCGATTGTTATGCTTTCCCGGTTCCAGCACACATGTGTGCAAGTTTACGATCGAAGTGTGATTTAGTATAGATGTCTATACAAAGTTCTTCTCTTTACATTGTGAACATTTGGTAAATCTACTATTTAATGCTGGCCCCACATTCTTGTCCCGCGCAAAGCAGTTTTAACCGTGAAAAAATTGTAATTTACCCTTTAGAAATGGCTGTGATAGTTTGACAATCAATATACCATCCTCACGATTGTATATAAATAAATATACATTATAGTTCAAACTTCAAGTAAAAATTTGTTTTAAATGTTTTGCCTATACTTTACTCCTAAAAAAATGCCTTAGTAGCGTCGTCTTGAATATTATTATTCGACATGTATCTCGGATTTCAATCTAAGATAGTTTAAAAAAAATGTACACATTATAATAATATTGTACTTAAACAGTTGTAGTCCCAAAACGTGGTCGCTTCCGGCTTATGCTTACATTCATTTGTCATTTATAATTTATGTTCGGTAAAAGGATCTGTTCCATTAATCTTGTTCCTCTTATAAGCAACCAACAAGCAATCGAGTGAGCGTATCGCGCATCTTATCCCGTATCTATCTTCGACGTTTTCTAATGTACTCATTGTGTTGCCTTTTTTTCCAAGAAGCCTTTATACACTGGTTTCTAATAAATATTAAACCACCCTTATTAGCTTATCGTCTAAGGCGCATAACAGCTGTACTTTAACCACTCATTATCTGCCGTGTGATGTGCTCCGGTTTAATATATTTGGTTCACAATGTTAAACAAAAAAACACAATCTCACCCAAAAGAGATTTATTATGACTAATTCAAAATAAAAACTGTTATTTTATTTTTTTAGTCACCTTGGTAACGCAAATAAATGTATAGTTCCAATTAACAATATGTACATAGGGAAAAAATCTCAATTCATAGGTAGTACCTACTTTTTTGGCCCCCCCCCCCCCGTGTGCACTTTAAGCCACTGATGTAATTAAAACAAACTCTTTAAAAAACCAATTGTAATCCCGCAAACTTTAGTAGAGAACACAAGCATTGGCACAATACAACATTAATCCGCAGGTGAATGAGTTTTCCATTCATTCTGTTTTTGAAAAAACCGCATAATTACTGTCCAACGGGTCATCAAATTTTACAAAATTTACAAGTTGAGTATTAAATAGTTACAAACGTTGTAGTTTCATACACAATGCAAATGAGAAAATTAAATTTGTAAAATCTCTTCATAATATTTTGTTAAAAAACATTTAATATTTATCCACAAGGGTATTAGAAATAGTAAAAATAAAACTTTATTTTTAAGTTCTTGGAAACTATTATAAATATAACATATTATATTGATTAATTATAACACATTTTTAAAAATAAAAGTTTAAAGGTACAATAATAAATGTTTAATAGTATTTTAGCAGATGGTAAAATATTAATAGTCAAAATGTTTTAACTGAAATTTTTTTTTTTATTATTGTTGACATTTTTAAAAAAATTGTTCGATTATTTACATTTAAATCACTTTAAGGATCATTTAAAATGTTTTAATCAGTTGTTTCGTTCTAAAACAAAATAATATGTTGCTTTTTTCTGCTATATTGTTATTGTGTTTATTTGAAAAATTATTTAATAAATGACGTTTGACTTTTACAAGTCATTTTTTTGGGGGGGGGGGGATTTTTAACAAAAACATTTATAATAACATGTACAACGCTTGTGGCATATTAATTTAATTACGGCTTTGTTTGGTTTTCAGCGCTTCTTTAAAAGACAGCATTTTAAAATGGTACAAATTGTTCAATATTACATTAGATCGAAAAAAAGTTTGTTGATTTAATCATTTACCGTAAAACGGAGATAACGTTTATTCGTTTAAAACATTATGCACGCTGAATATGTAATTTCCTTAATATTCAAATTAAATTCAGGGTACTCGTTTAACATTAGATTAAAAAATCAAATTTAGTGTTTTAAATTTTGCGTTTTCACGGTTAGCTTAGTATATAAGATAGTGATTGTGACAACATTTTTGTACTTTTATGTCGATATTAAATATATATTACAAACGTACACTATGTAGTACCTATTAAAAAAAAAAAAAATCAATAACTATATTCTTGAAACATACAAGTAATAAATAGTATCAAAAAATATGTGTATTATTTAAAAAATTTTAAATAAAAAAGTTATTTATACTTGAACAAATGAAAATGTATTTTTAATTGCCAACTATTTAATATAGTATTAACAATTTTGTTTATATATATATTATATCTGTGGCTGTATAAATTATTCAAAATTTTTAAAAATCTGTAGTAAAACTTGTATTTTTTTCATAAAAAACCAAAAAAATAACAAAAGAAGACGATTACAAAATGCAAGAATTTTTTATGACATTTATTATCATCACCTGTTGCCTGCTATTATTATTATTTTTTTTTTCAAAAAATTTGATGCAAAACGTATTTGACTATTTTTTCATTAAAAAATAGTCATTTTCTTATTTTTTAGCAAATAGTTTTTTTTACAAAATTTTAAACTTTACATACAGCTAAATAAATTTAATTATTGTATAAAATGTCGTCAAACATTTTGACCACATTTTTAATATGTTGTAAAGATACTTTGGCTCGGATTTTAATGTATCCAAAATTATAACATAGTTTAATCATACCTATACCGGATGATTCGTTTAACGCCCTACACTAGTTTACTCTTAAAATAATTATTGCAATTTTGTAGTTTTTATTGAAAACATTTTTGTTTTTACGTTATATAATACAATATTCATTTTTTTTAGTATTTTTAAAAACTTTATCTAACTTTTAAACTTTAACTGTATATTACATTTAGTTGATTTTTTAAGTTAAGAATAATTTACTGAAAATGTTGACTGGTCGACGACCATTTTGTAATACATAATTATTTTCACAATTATACAAGTATACAATTTATAAAACGGCAGGTGGAGTGCGGTTGAGAACTTGTTTGTGTTGGGCCAATGAAGTTTTTAAGCCAACTTTGGAAGTCTGAGGATTATATTTAAATTTATTCGTCGTTTACATATGTAGATGACTGGTCATAGTTTTATAAGTGTTTTTTTTTTTTGTGACAGAAATACGTTTAGAGGAAGTTATATATGTATTAAAAAAAAAAAAACGATAGGGTCGACGTTTGAATCTTTTTTTTTTGAAAACCTACAGTGGTGTGTGGTTCAGCCTTTAGTTCTGGTAGGTCCTGTACGAATCTGAACTAGAAAAAGCTGAAAGGCGCTTTGAGCGGTGAGTGTTGTATGGGCTAACGCGATTGGTGCGTGGACTGGGATGCGCCTAGACCGTTACGCTGCTACAAAAGTACCGGCTTTTGAGCTGCTTGTGATTTAATAATTATTTAACTGTTTGCGGGGTAGCATACGGCTTGTACTGGACACACCAACAAACGAGGTAAGGGTTTCTTTTACTATATCCTATATTCACTTGTGCGTACAATTATTACACACATTAGCTCTTATGACCGCGTCTCCGCCACAGCATTTGCACATATTTTTATTTTAACGTTTAATCCGTTTAAATATGGCAAAATTCGCGCGAGTTAAATGTTGTTATAAATATAATACAGCTTACAAATTCGCTGTTGCCTTACATACAAACATTAACATTAATGTGTTTATATTTTAGGGAAAACCCAACTAAATGCCGTCACTCTTAATTAATTGAATTTTTCTTATTGTGTGTCTGATTTTTAAGTCTATACAAAAGTAAAATCCAGAAGCTACTAAAAATCTGATAATTTTCTTAGAGAATGATTCGAGTTCGAGTAGGAAATAATTATTGCGCGTTTTTTTTCTAATGAAACAATAATAATTATTTTGTTGTGAATGCTATTTCATATTTTGTAAGTTGTTACAAAATTTTAGTATTTTTTCTTAAACAATGATCAGCTTTAACTTTACAAAAAAATCCATATTTTACCCATAATTTATTTGTTTGGCTGTATAGATATGTTTTAAAAATAATATTGTTTCAATTTTTTTAGTCATTTAAAATCAAACACAATTGTATGCTAATTTATTTCGGAAACTAACCGGAATGGCGATTTGAGATTTTTTATCAAGTTTAATCCAAAATATTTTAGAAAATCAAAATCACACAATTACCTGTAACTAGTAGTAGTACCCGTAATTTTGTCTAGCCTTAACTACTAAAATGTATAAAAAAAATCAGTGAGTCGGCAAAACTCTTATAAAAGTTAAGTTTAGAATTTGTTATTTTTCAACCATTAAATAATACTAAATTATGTTAAAAAAACATATTGTATTTCTAAATAACCGAAAAAATCTATTTATTTATATATTATCCACACAGCAAATAACAAGTATAAATGTTTTCTACATTTTTAGTTTAGGACATAGCGGTACCTAATAAATCTACAAAACAATGAATCATTTTTATAAAGATTATAAATTCATAGATTACCGTTTTATAAAATATAATTTTCGTTATTTCGTTTCATTCTACTCATCTGATTCTCAATCATAATGTGCGTTTATATATTTGAGAAACTCCATTTTTCTTGTGTCATATATTGGTCGATTTAAATTAGGTAAATGCTCTTTCTTCGTCTCGCAAGAATAAAATACTTAAACGGTTATGGTTTTGCGTACAACAACAAACACAATATCTAGACAAAATGTAATTAAAACTCATATTAATTAAAACTTGAATTTAAAAAAAAAACCGAGAACCGGCAAAAACTTTTGCTTTAGAATTTATCACTGTCATATTAAGTTATTTATTAAGTAACTAAATGTAGTTGAAGTGCATAACTTCTATCGTTCGATAATATCGTTTAAAGATAAGTTTCCTTGAAAAAAAACCTATTGCGGTTATGTCTTGCAATTTTCCTTTTTTTTTATTTTTTATAAGAACTATAGCGGTTCTGCCATCAATTAATTATAGTTTACAAGAGAGCTTAAATGTAAATTATGATGAACAGCGACTTTTCGTTTAAATTAGTTAAAAACGATTTACTTGTAACGACAGAGAACCGAGTTGACTTAAAACATTTTATTTTATTTTGGTATGGGTTTTATTTTTTAGATATCTGTTTAACGGTGTGTTAATTAAACGTCATTGCTTTACTATCTCCCAGAACACCATTAGACGATTGAAACATATAAACTGTAAACAACAATTGTAGTTATTTTGATTTTTTGTTTTGTCCGGCCACGGCGCAATATATACTACATTATAATCTATCTACGAATACTAATAAAATATATAGTATAATTGTAAAACCAAAGTGAAGTAGTGGATTAATTATTTTTATAGTATCTCCTTTGTGTATCTTTGGCGTAAGATTTGGCGGTATTTGATGTGTATAATCGTGTTTGATGTGCGTTTCTGAGTGTTCCTGAAAAGCGGAAAAAGGATTAATAAATTATAAATTGAATAAAAATAAAAATTGTAAGTAACACCGCGGTTAGACGGCCGTAAGTGTATGTTCGAGTAAGGCGAGCGAAAAAACGTATAGATAAACAAACGTCCCGACGGGTTTATGTCGCAAGATCATAATAGAGTATTAGAAGAAATTTGTCATAACAAGAGGGATTTTTAATTCAACGAGACCTAGACAGTTATGCCCTTTGGAGTTTAGTACATGGCCGTGTGAAAGGGGAAAAAGTACTAATCGCATAAGCGCAGTTCGTGATAAAGCTGAATTGTTGTGCTATAAAACAACAGATTGTCTTACTTACATGAAGACAAGTTGCTTTTTATTTTATCTAATTCGATTAAGAACTTCAATCCTAGACGAATCGGTACAAACAAACGGAAGAACTTAGTGTTCAAGATTTAATGGACTGAAATATTATTCACTTAACAATCATCGTCCATTGCCTTGGATTTGTTGATGACGTTTCAGACCCATTTTGTACAGTCCATCTTCATAGTTCCGGTCACCGTTCTACTGTCACAGTTATACTAAGTGTATACCACTATATCATTGTGAAGATGGACTGTGCAATGAGTCTAAGACATCAACAACAAATCATACACGCGGATACATCCAAAGATTATCAAGTTAATAAAAGAACTTTTTACTGAACCGTGATGAAGTGACTTGTTAAAGCAAACACAAAAACTGTATCAAACTATATCAAAAATTGGTAATAAAATATACATTTTTCTAAACTAGTAATTTAAAAACAAAATATACCCATAAAAATGTTAGTTAATGAAAAAATACAAGAAACAGTGTTTGAAGTGTGCTAAAACATTTAACCACCAACAAACAGTTGATACGATTTATTCAAAATAAAAATATAACTATAATTTATAAGTTAACGGGCGTGAGTATGATATTCAAATCCCGAAATCTCAAAGCTTGCCAGTCAACTGTGTTAGTTGTCTAATCGGCTCAAACCACATAGAGGATGATTCTGCAAGTGTAGTCGGGACTCGGGTCCTGGAGAAGTCTGATCTTTCTTTTTTCTATTTTCTGAAAAATCCCTTCAGACGGCTAAGTGTAAGTTGTGTGTGCGCGTCATAAGCAAAAGGCCGAAACAATATTATTACAGAACCATTTACATTTTATTGTAGTTGCAGGATTTATGTGTAATTTTTTATGTGCAAAATACGCCTTTTAGCGTTACGGCCAGCGCTTTGGACACGTTCCGCCGTTGTCTTGCCGTAAACGCTCTTAAAAGTGTTCGGGCCTTAAATTTATTGTTCTCGGCGAAAACAAAGTGTGACTCTATAATATCCAAGGAAATCTGACGGCCAAAACAAATTGAAACGAAACCGCCTAAAACAAAAGTCAAAACGCAATATTCACTAATGTCGCAATCGCTTTGACGGCGCAGATATTTTACACCTATATCACATAGTATGAAATATTATATTTTTATATACAACAATAAAATATTTATTAATTACTATATTATAGTATTAAAAATTATAATTTATCACCGTTGTCCTGTATAATAGTATTTTAAACAACAATTTTTTTCTCATGTGTACGCGTTTTATGTAAACGTTAGTCGTTAAACCATTTCCCCGTACAAATGCACTAATATCTGTATTATCTATTTGTTATTCTTTTGTTTTGTAAATGTTTGTTTTTATCAGGTCTGACTCGCTTAACGCGCAATCGTCGATTTAGGAAAGTTTACAAAGTACAATATCTAAAAAAAAAAACACCACTCGAACTGTAGCCAAACATTTGAAATCACATTCCGGCGTCGGGAAAAAAAGTATAAAAACCAATTAACAAGGTAAAACTTTTGTTTTCTTAAACTATTAACATTTATAAGAAGGCGCCACAACGTTATTTAAAATACCTACGTCGAAGTGTCTGAGAAACTTTGGAGTTTCATTTAAGTAGAATTTGGTAGGTAAAATTCTGGTATTATGCAGCTGTTGTTCATATTAGTGTCGGTTGATTAAGTTTGGAAAAGCGAAGCATCAAGTATTTATTTTTCAAATTATGTTTGTGGATTTTATCACAGAAAACAGGAACGTGTGTTAGGTAAAGTGATCAATGTGTTTCGCTAAAAAGACAAGCTTTGTATGTATTGTTTACATAATATTTTAACTGTTTTTCACCGAATCCTCTGAGGAACTAGTTGTTAAAAAAAGGAAAAGTAATCAATAACGACAGTCTCGGTGGCTCAAAATCAAATACATCACCGTTGTCGTTGAGAATAATAATTCGGACTTTGATAGGCGACACTCAGATGACATTTTGTCCAAATCTTATTGTTGGACTTATCGAAACGACAATTGGACAGGAAACGTACGTATTTTAAGTCCAAGATAACACAAAGAAAAATGATTTCTAACGCAAATTATCATCTATGATTAACAGCTTATCAAATAATTTAAATTATTATTAAACATCTAATGGTCAACAAATAAAAATTGATTGGTTCTTTCAACCTCTAAGCTCGAAAGCAATAAAATATCGGTTACCTATTTTATAACGGTTATTTAAAGACAAAATAAATTGGTTAGTCAAATCATTTGGACCCTGAAGCCCTTGAAAGAGTAATAAAATATTGAAATAACCATAAATATTAAATTAAATTTGTAAATTGTAAAAATAATATGGTAGCATATAGTAAAAATGTATAGTCGTTTTTAAAATCTATTTAAATTATACCTAACAATGATGTAAAATTATGACTTCTTCAATTAGTTAAGAAATGAGTTTCTACAACGTACTTTTATTTTTTTTTTCAATTAAATTAAATATTGAGTCAAAAAATGTTAGTTAATTTTTGCAATTTAAGCACAACTATTATGTAGCATTTTCGTTATTATTTAATTTATTTACTTGGAATTTTGGAAACCTTTCTACGACTCGACGTTTTTGGTGGAAGGTCCAGAGAGTATTTGTATTATATCTTCATCGATAATTAAACAATAAAAGCAACGGATTTGGTCGCTTAAATGGGTTGTTTAGCTTGTAGTCGGGTAGTTGCATACCTGATACAGTCATACTAGTAAATAAAATCAGATTTAATTGGTTGATTCAACTTACTGAAATTGTAGTATAGATTTTGTGCCAAAACTAACTTGCTAAACGCTATAGGGGGCGAAGAAACAATCCACGTTCGAGTAGTCTTGATTTCAAAATTAAGAACGAAAAACTTTAGCGCTTCAGTAAAGAAAACTATTATGAGACATGTCCCAAAGTAAAACGGTGTATGCATTGGACATGCATTGGCTACAGCGAAAAGTCTTGGAAAACTATATAGTTTTGTTGTGTTTGTTTTATTCTACACTAACCTTCTGGAATCTGACCTAATGCGGTACAAGAACAAAGCGCTCGAACAAAGACATCCGTGCGAGGTATATAAAGTGCCCACCGGGCTGAGTCGCGGCTTACTAAAAAAATTGTCGAGTGTCTGTGTGTAAAAAACAAACATAAAACAAGAATACATTAAGCGCGAACGGCGTTTGTGTTGGACACAAAACGGAACGATCCGGCGATTTTACCGTAGATCATTTATCAACTTGGGGCGAATAAACAAAACACAGAAGAGTAAGTGTGCGTGGGCGGAGTGAGGGAATACTTGACGCTAAAACCCCGGACAGATTAAGTCGTCGCCTGTTCGAAGTTAACGTTTTCGAGAAGCTCGCAATTATTATTTATTATTATACGAGGGAAACCTACACAACAATAATAATGTAAATATGTTTTTTTTTTTGTTAAGAAATGTTTCCAAAACGGTGCATAGCAATAACTATTGTCAGAACACTTAAAAATATTTTTACATCATGCGGTGTAATTTAACAACTAAAAGTTAACAAAACAAATGTTTCAATACAGTATCCTAGTTGCGACCAAACTGTAATTGGTATAGAAGTTAAATTACTAATTTCATAATCGAATGAAAATATGTTTTGTGAATACCCGACATTCAAACACACCATAAAACGCAAGTTAACGCTAAAAAAAAGTTACTTTAAATTATGGAGTAAGCAGTAAGCAATTGTGTCACTCACAATTTATTTATTGACAATTATATAACCCTTAAACGTTGAATTAGAAACCGTTTCTCGATTTATTCATCATTCCACGATGGAGGGATGGTCCTTTTTCTTAGCCTCGTCGATGGTTTAGAGAATCTTATCTAAACAAGGTACACGGACATCGGCGCTTTTATACGACATTGACGTTTGCATTTTACTTGCAAGTTTGTCAACAAACAAACAAAATGGGATTTTTAGACCGAATTTAAAGACCCTTCTTTGAAATTTCTTTTCGGATATAGAATTCATTAAAATGATCACAGCTACTATATTTTGGTTTAAACCTCATCTACAGTAGATTAATACGTTTAGCCGGTTAACCGATTACCATTAAGGCCAAAAAGCAGAATAGGCAATATTTTTTTTAAAAGGCGTCCGTGTACCTATTTTGCATGTACAGCGCGCCGTACAAGCTAAAGGGAACGGAAAGCACTATTCAATAAGGTGTAAAACGCTAGGCAATAATTGACAAAAATTGATCTAGTAGCCGTTTTAAATTTAATGACCAATTTTAAGGTAAAAACATATTAAGTTTGTTTAGTTGTACAGTTGAAATGTGAACATCTCATTCTCTATTGGTCACACGATAAAAACGATAATATTAACGCATCGTTTAAAAAATACGCGCCTGGGTCTAAATTTAATCTGTATTATGAATATAGTTATATATATATATATATATATATATATATATTTTTTTTTTTGCTCTAAGCCCTGAGATACATCATCCTACACGTATAATAACGTTATTGGTTTAAGCCTCTGTTGAAATAGTGGTTAAGCAAATCCGGTACAATAATAACAGTATTCATATTGTAGTAAGTTTTTCAAATTCGACCAGGACGACGAGCGGTTTTCGGGAATCGCGTTATGCATTAAAGTTGCTTGTCAAAAACGATAATAAGATTGCTATATTATATTATTATGGCGGACCACTTAAGGCGGCCAAAGGAAGACGAACATGATATTTTTCTTGGGGTTTTTTTTTTTTAATCCGACCTCGAGACGGACCTATACTCGGTGTAAGCATTGTGCTCTTGTCGGCCATACGATGCCGGTCAAAATTGATTTCGGACATATCCACGGAGGGTTGATGTATTATTATTATCATTGTTATGTTACTATCAATCGTGCCCCGGACTCGCGGTTCCGGTAATGTGAGCATGTAAATATATTTCAACATAATAATCATAAAAAAAAAAAAATGTGAACAACCGCAAGGATCATCTTTAGCGTGGGTGCGGTGAGCGGACGGCAACCCTAGCGTTGGAGAAGCGAATGCAAACCGCTTAGCTCGGTTATCCGCGTTTGTGTTTATTAGACGGTTTTTGTTTTTTCTTCGGCTTGCCTTCTAAATTTATTTTATTTGCACAGTGAATTGTACAAATTTCCATTAAAAACATTATTAACGACTAATAAGTTTAAGGTAGAACTGTATTCAAACAATGCCTTTTTGGTCAGTGCATTTTAAATACACTATGTATACTGAAGCCGTTGGCGATTGATATCCTTAAGACGCTTTTAATTTGGGTAGTTAACAATTATTTGTTTTACCCGCAAAACCCATGCAACATAATAATATTATGTTTTATGCCGAAAATACATATATTATATGTATTATTATTGGCATAAAACGACAAACGTTTCTAGGGATTCCGCCAGACATTTTACCGATCAGTTGTAGACCTTTGGAAACGAAGGCCGACATTACAATAATAATCATTACTGACAGAGTATCGATAATAAACAAAAAAATATGATACATATATATATTCCTTAATTGTATTCTATACAGTTGGAAAATATAAGAAAAACCTTAAATGTTCATGGTGTATATTATATGTTGTGTTTTACAACAACAGTAATATTATAATAATACATGCCATGGAAAGAAACCTCTTTTGTACCGTTTAAATATACATTTTATAAAACAAATTAACTGTACACAAAGAGAGTATTGTTGTTGCTGATTTCCAATCTGTAAACAATCACCATTGAAGTAATAACCGGACAGAACGGGGGCGAAGCCCTGTCAAAGGACGTTTGTTCTATCGGGGCTCGATTTTGGAATTCAAATTTTGTAATAAGATAAACGTTTTTTTTTTATATATTTTTTTTTTAGAAGATCTTAATTTTAAACCCGAATTGTAGATGCTAAATTATCGACAATATCATACTTAGGCACGAATGTTGTTTCTACGTTATAAACATTTGGTAAAGATTTTTTTTTTGAAGAGACGGGTTTGTTTTAAAAAGTAAATCTGAATGACTAAAAAAAGTTCCGGTAATTGTTCTGCGAAGTACGTTCGAATCAGATCAACAGAGCACGACGGCTGTTTATACATTTTTGTCTTTTTATACTTAACAAAACTTTTCAAACCGTCAGTACCAAATAGCTTTTTTTTTTTGACAAAAGCTAAGTAATTTTTTTTTTTTTAACAATGAAGGAGTAGGTATATAATAAGACACACGACAATCGCAACGCAGATGGTGAACTTAATAGCAAAGTCACATAGGTAATATTGTTGTTGAACTTTGAGGTTTGTGTGGATCGAGACAAAATAAGAATTAACACTACTTGTATAGTAATAATGATAAAGTAATATTTTACTACGGCTAATACGATAAAGTAATTGTTAAAGAAAACTTATAGAAATATAGTACACAGATAGAGCGATTAACTTGACTGTTAGCTTACATGAAAATAGTGTGAAAAGTGAGTAACTAAGACACCCTC